GGTACAAAATGTTCCATCTTCGTAAAATGATCTACTATTACAAATATAAAGTCATAAGAATCTGAGATTGGAAGATCCGTGATGAAATCCATAGAAATAGAAGACCATGGTTGTTTTAGAATGGGTAATGGCTGAAGAAGTCCTTAAGGTCGATGACAAGGAGTTTTTGATCTCGAATAAACATCACAAGATTGTACAAAATCTTTGATTGCTTTCCACATTTGTGGCCACCAAAAGTCCCTGGATATTAGTTCCAAAGTTTTATTGTACCCAAAATGTCTTGTTGCTGGAAAGTCATTACGAGCTTGAAGAATACATAATCGAGCTTCACCTTCTGAAACATATAGGCGTTCCTCAAAATATAGTAGATTCTTCTTGAATTCATGAGACTTTGAAATATCATGAGACTTTGAAGGATTTTCCTTAATATCAGGAATAAGAAGATCAAAAGACATACTTGACTGAACTTGCTTAATGAAAGTTGAATCAACAGTCAGTGTTGATTTCATTGCTTGAAGATGAAGATGCTCTGGCTTCAAGAGAATTATTCATTGTTGATCAAAAGCAACATCTCCTTCCTTTGGTACAAGGTAAGATCATTTAGAGAGTACATTTGATAAAACTTTGTTGTTTTTCTGGTCGATAAGTGATCTTAAATCCAAATCTTGACAAAGACATACTCCAACGGGCTTGGCGACGATTCAAAATACGTACTGACATAAAATATTCAAGATTCTTGTGATCCGTATATATTGTGATTGGGCTAGAAGCACCTTCTAGATAATGGCGCTATTCTTGAAACAAATCCACGATTGTAAGAAGTTCTTTGTTGTCGATCTCGTAATTGATCTCGGTTGTTGAAATTTTTTTGGAATGAAAAGTTATTTGGTGAAGTTTATTATCTATTCTCATTTGTCATAATACAACATCCAAAGCAAAGTTTGATGCGTCTATTTCCATAAGAAATGGTTTAGAAAAATTGACGTGATACAAGATTGGTACAGAATCTAAGGCTATCTTCAAAGCTTCAAATGCTACTTCTGCTTCTTGATTCCATTGAAGTTTGTCTTTGCAAGTCAAACGTGTAAGTGGAGCTGTAACTTGAGAGAATTCTTTGATGAAGATCCGATAGTAATTGGTAAATCCCAAAAAGCATTGGACATCTCTTACCATTTTTGGGATCTTCTAATCCATAATAGTTTGAACTTTCTTAGGATCCATCAATAGTCTATCATTTCAAATGATATATCCTAAGAAGTTGACTTGAATAGTGTGAAATATACACTTTTCTATCTTGGCATTGAGTCTCGCATCTCTTAGTTTTTGTAATACATGGCGAATATGAAGTTCATATTCTTCTGAGTTCTTAGAATAGATTAAGATGTCGTCTAGGTAACAGACAACAAAATCATCTAAAAACTCTCAAAAAACATCATTCATTAGATGATGGAATACTACTAGTGCATTTGTAAGTCCAAAAGGCATGATGTTGTATTCGAAATGTCCATACCTTGTTCGAAACGCAGTCTTCTATTCATCTCCTTCTTTGATGCATACTAGATTGTATGCTCTTTGTAGATCTATTTTTGTATAGATCTTAGCTTGATTCAACTGATCAAGGAGTCTAGATATCAAAAATAGTGGATACCTATTTTTTATAGTGTTTTTATTGAGTCCTCGATAATCGACACATATCCGCAATGATCCATCTTTTTTCTTCACAAATAAAATTGGAGCTCCTGCTAGAGATTAGGAATGGCGTATGAAGTTCTTGGCCAAATTCTCTTTAATATACTCCTTGAGTTTAGCCAACTCATTTTGAGATAAATTGTAGATTGGTCCAAATGGCAGTTGTGCTCCTTCTTGAAGGTCAATTGAGCAGTCATAGGAAGGATGTTCTGGAAGAGTATCCACATTCTTTTTCTCAAATATATCTTGAAAATCTTGATATCGGCTTGGAATGCCACTTGAAGTCTTTCCATCAATAGAAACAGGTGTGGCATAAATGACACAAGGTGATCTTTCTTTTGCAGCATTCAAGAAAGAACTTGCATCTACAAATATAGGTTTAATTATACTAGACTTATGACTTTCTACTTGATTAACTATATTCTTACTTATACTTATAGAAAAGTGAAGACTATGAGAAGTACAATCTATTTTAGGGTTATATTTTTCTAGCTATGATAAATCTAAAATGACTGGATTAGAAGGAGATCTAATGGTATTAAATATTACAAAGCTACTATGACCATTAGTTGCTATTTCTATAAGAAGGATTTCATGAATAACATCTCCTAAAGACAACGGATGACCATCTATGACTTCTACATGAACTGGTTTAGTTTTCTTTACTAAAAATATGCTATGTCTTTTAGCAAATTTTTCATCTAAGAAACATGTTGAGGCTCTTGAATCTAGCCAGGCAGAGGCTTTGAGATGTTTAGGTCCTAAAATAACATTTATCGTAAAACATGGAGAGGGTTTTAAGGAGAGGATAGGACCTTCACTAGGCGTTGTACAAGGTTCTAACCACACAGTCCCTATTATAGCTGAACAAATTTGTTTTCTGACATACTATCTTCTTTGATCGCCGTACTACTCATTTTATGGTTGCATCACTTCTTTGGGTAATGTTAAGCAATGTGCTTAGATTCTCCACAATATAAGCACAATCCTTTCTAACGAGAATGAGTCTTTTCTTGCTCAATGAGAGGTTTGAAACGTACTACATCAATTTACATATCCTCCACTTTCAAATGTATGTGTTGAAGAGATGTTGGTGTTGCTATTGAATTATAGTAACGTTCAGGTCTACTTGTACAATTCTCAGATCAAAATTTAAAAAGACGATTGTCGCACTTCATAGCAAAGTGAATTGTTTGACTTAAAGTTTGAGGATTAGGTAAGTTGAAAATTAATTTTTTTACCTCATATTATAATCCGTAGAGAAATTAGCTAATAAGTGCAACATCATCTTATTTGATATTAATTGCAAGTTGTCAAAATTGAGAAGTATACAACGTTATTGATCGGTTGCTTTATCATAAAATATGGATCTTATTGGTTGTAACATGAATTGCATCATGTTCTCCATACATGGATCAAAACTCTGCCAAAAAAGCCTCTAATTTATCCAATATTGGATCTCGTCATTCAAGAAAAGATGAAAACCATGATAATGCTAAATGTGAAAGAAGCGTATCAATGAATCTAACTTGCGATCTTGGAATTGGATAGTTTTGGGATTGAAGTTCAATCACAAGTTGTTCTTTATTGATAAATCCTCTAAACTTTGATCTAGTGCCATCAAACTTCTCGAGTAAAATAATTCTTGGTTCTCTAACATTGGAAGGGCATTCTTCCAAAGGAAAAGGGACATGATTTGGTACAGATATTGAAGCAGCTCCAATCATTTCTATATCTTTACTTCTTGCAAATCTTGTTGCTCTTTGTAGTGATAAATTGAATTGATGCATCGCAAGCATTAACTCTCTCAATTGCTCTTGCATTTGTGCCATTGCATTCTTCATTTCAGCAAGTTCTGCCATGATAATACTTAGAAAAGAGAAGATGTATAACATCGCTCAAGACAAATAGAAGAGAAGACTTGAAAATAAAGAAAATACTAAAGAAAATATCAATTTAGAAGAGGGTAATCCGTAACTTTTAATATGCTTATGTCTTATTAAGAAAAAGGGGTAATCCATTCTTAATCAAGATTAGACAAACTTTGATATTATAAGTGTACTCTTGTCAATCTATCAAGGTGAAGAACATGATAAAGAAAAATAAACAAGTGAAACTTCTCTCAAAGAAAGATGACAAAATAGAAATAACTTGATATGTATATTAAGAAAGAAATTGGAATAGCTATTGCCAAAAGCTAAGAAAACTAGAGACCCTTGAAACTAGACCGGAAGCAAGAAAAGACATGACAAGAGTGAAGAAGGCTTCACTCTTGTCTCTATATATACTATCTTACTAGGAGCTATGTGGTTACATTCTATAGGATCTCCAATATGTATTGACTTTGTAGGATACATGCCTTGACTTATAAGGCAATTTTTTCTATGTGTGGGCCACATAGTTAGCTTGGTCTTCAAGCTAACAACATGTGTGGCACATGGCCAACTTGTTGACTATCTTTCTAATCCCAAAAAGTCAATTAAAGACACCTATAAAGTCAAAGCAATGTCTATAAAGCTTCTAGGAAGCTTCCATACCAAATACTATAGAATTAACTTACTTTCACCTATTTTTACTTACTTCTTTCTATTTATATATGTCATTACTGGCTTACATGCATATATCCATGACATAAATTTATTTCAATTTTTTTAAACTATTGAATGAAAAGTTGAAAAAAGTAAAAAAATAATCTAGAATCAGTATTTCATTTTATCATCCACATTTAAAAAGCGATTACATTCTTTTCTTTTTCAACCAATTAAATATAATTATTAACATATTTATAAATTTTATTTAGTGAGTGTTTATTTGTTTCTCAATATTTATAATAATAGTAGTTAAATATATATATATATATATTTTTTTGTCAAAATTTGATTTAAAAAAATTGTCATTGACCACTTGAATATAATTGAATATAATTAAAATACAGCTCCTTTTGTTAAAAAATTATTTAAATATACTTAATTTTTTTCCATGATAAATAGTTATTAATTTTAATTTCCATCATCACAAACATTTACAATGAATCACTACAATCACATTTTTATGTATTATTTAATACAACTTACTAAAAAAATAAGAGCTAACAATAACTCAATGGATATCACAAAATCATAAGGGCAACATTATAATGTGGGTGCAAGGACACATCCTACGTGTCATGTTTGCACCCCACTGAATTTGGAGTCTTTTATGTATCAATACATATTCACGGTCTTAGATACGATACGGTCTTACGTATGTGCGGTCTTAGGTGAGTTGGTCTTAAGGTCGTCTTCTTCAGATTGGCTTGCGACCGATAGAGAGCTTGTTGCCTCGAGGTAGCCCGGCATCGTGCTCACATTTCGCACTAGAATGCGTGATTGCATGGATTCCGGTGACAATGTTGTGAGGCAGGCTTTTGCTGCAATTGTAAGTAGGAAGGAAGGAGTGTGTGTGTGTGTGTGTGCAGAGTTCCGATTTGTCCACTGGATTAGGGTTTCGAACCTTGAGTTGGAGCAGGAGCTGGAGTTGGTGAAATGGCGAGGACATGGCGAGCGCGGGCGATGCAGGTGCAGATGGCCAGGGCGCTCACTACTTGCCTCTTTGGAGCTCGCGTATTCGCGCCTCGGTACGGTCATCTCTCATTGGATCGAAACTTGAAACGTTATTTTTTTCGTGTAATTAATTTTCGTCGTGATTGGTACTTGTCATCGATTCGGATCAAAGTTGAATGCGGGTGTTACAGTGGTCGATTTTACTCGAATTGGGATGTAGAAGCTGGTATTTGGAATCCGGTTTCGTGCCATGTTGATGTGAATTATGTGATGGGGATTTTGACGTGTCGTATTTTTACAGGCGTACCCGTTGCCAAGGATGAGGGGTTCAGGGTTTATTTCTGACTTTGGTCTTTGTTTTGAACATTCAGAAATTCCTTCACTGCAACAGGCGGTGAAGTTCTGAGCTGGAATTGGAGAAGCTTAAGTACATCTGCATTGCAGCATACAGGTGGTCTCCAGGTCTGCGTTGTTGGGAGTGGCCCTGCCGGGTTTTACACTGCTGAGAAGGTATGTGAATTGTGCCTTTGTTCCCCTTTACTGACTAATACGGTGTTGGAAGATATCTCCCTGTTCTTCTATTAATATTGGATTGCATTGATTTTGAGAATGATACTGGTGCAGGTGCTGAAACGTTTTGAAAGAGCGAAGGTGGACATTTTGGATAGGTTGCCCACTCCCTTTGGGTTGGTTCGCTCTGGAGTGGCTCCCGATCATCCAGAGACCAAGGTTTAATTTAATTTGTGTTTTAGAACCTGAAAAAGCTACAATACCCTTGTGTTTTCACCATCGGTCAGTCACTTACGTCGCTATTTGTTAGGATTTCCACTGCTCTTCATTGGTTGTCAAAGAAGATGCATTACCCCTTTCGGATGGTTCATAAATGTAGATTATTTTAAAGATGTAAAACTTTGTGAGGGTAGGTTCTCACGATGCCGCTGACAGGTCGTCACCAACCAATTTTCTCGAGTGGCAGTGAGCGATCGGTGTTCCTATTTCGGGAATGTCACACTTGGTACCGATGTTTCTCTTGAGGAGCTGCGTATGTTGTATGACGTGGTTCGTTTTCTTCAACCTGGGGTCTATCCCTCTTACAAATTCTAGTTGGGTCCGTGGCAACTCGAGTTCTTTTATGTCTGACTCTATCGTGTAGTTTGTCAGTATCTCATGTTTTCGTGCTTACCTGACCATAAATTGAGCAGCGAGAATGTGCGCATGTACCCAGTTAAATTCATTCTGGCCATTTATGCTCTCGGACGAGCTAGTCTCAATTTTGGCGAAGTGAAGGAGCAAGTGCTGGTCCTCATTTATCGTCCAATATGTGGTCTCTAAGAATAATTATAGAGTAAAACAAATGCGACATTTCAAACTAGACTTCACTATTAGTGATAATTTGTCTTTTATTATAAATGTTGTTGGACGTTTGTTTGTGATGGGGGCGTGTGCTTTAAACCCAGATTTCCTCCTTGTACATATCAGGTCGTTCTTGCGTATGGAGCAGAGAGTGACCGTAAATTAGGAGTCCCTGGAGAGGTTCGTATTCTTTGCCACTCCTTTAATTACTGTTTGGTTGTGGGGATAATCAGCAGGATACAACATACACGCATCGTTTAGGACCGTGCACACCCATTTATCAAGCTGGAATATTGTTAGGAATATTATGATTGTGTTAAAACATAGGAGGAGCTACTCTAAGGATTTTGAAAATTGTGCGTTCATTTTATTAATTTTGAATTTTTGAGTGAGTGCTGCCTGCGGGTATTACAGAAAGTTTTTATAGAGATAGTTTTAGATCCTCAAGAATCGTTTTAGCCAGAGCAGTTCATGTTTCCCAAATCAGTTTTTCGATTTGTTTTTAAGGAATTGAGTGCGTGATACTTTATCCTTGTGAGCATTTGTTTAGCTCTTGGAATATTCGCATCATTAGTGCCTGTAGCACAACTTGTGCTGATATTTTCCGCGTTGAGTCTGCAGGAGCTGGTAGGCGTACATGCAGCAAGAGAGTTTGTCTGGTGGTATAATGGTCATCCTGATCAAGTCAACTTGCAACCAGATCTTCAATCTTCAGATACTGCGGTTGTACTCGGTCAGGTGAACTTTTTGTGTCTTGTTTACATATTGAGAGCCGAGTGGGGACAAAATCGGCCTCAAGCACTGGAGATTGTCAATACGGGGAGCTGCATGAGCTTATATATACTCACTAAGCAATGGAGTTATTTGAAAATGTTCGTCTTTGACAACTAAGTTCTCAATGGGTTGTGCACCGAAGATATATCCACAATATTAAAAGCTTGTTGTTGGTTCTAAGTCTTTCTTCTGTGGTGGCAGGGAAATGTAGCTCTGGATTGTGCCCGAATACTGCTGCGCTCCACAGAAGAGCTGGCTACCACAGATATTGCCGAACATGCTCTTGTCCAACTACGGGAGAGTCGGATCAGGTACTGTTTGCTACTTGTAATTCCTTGGAGCTTCTACTAAAAGTGAATGTTTACCAATATTTACCCATGTTTATCAATGATTTTCAATGATTATCAAAAAGCACGTTGGCTTCTTATATCTTTGATACGATAGCGATTTATTTGGGCTTTTGATTGCTCTAGCAGTGGTTTCGGGTTGGTTTGAATGCAGGCGTGTCGTGTTAGTGGGTCGTCGTGGACCTGTACAGGCTGCTTGCACTGCGAAGGAGTTGCGCGAGATTATGGGTAAGTTGTATTAGGGGGTTGTTTATATGTGGATTGTTGATCTTTTTGTTGTGTGTTCTATTTTCTGTCTCTACCTTTATTAATGATTCTATTTTATTTTTCTTGTAAGAAATATTAGGAGTTCTCCATTATTATTTAGCTATGGACATTGATCTCTGTTTTCCCATGGACTCTTTGTATTGTTCCTTAATGACGGCGATTTGAAGGTCATCCAGAATATGATAGTTTGGTGGGTCAAGTGCAGGTATTAAAGGGCTGTCTGTGAAAGTGCGTGCTTGTGATCTTGCCCTTTCACCTGCTGACCTGGTGGGTTTTCACGTCGACGCTTGTTTTAGTATGATCACTGCATTGCGACATTTATGTGCGACTCTTCCTGCATATAATTTCATTTAAAATTGTGGATTCAAACTTTTGGTTAGTTCTGGTAACCGCATTCTCTCTGTGGAGGTAACAATACTTGGCTGCATGCTGCAGCCATTATGGAATCTTCCAGGAGGAGATGAAGGCCAGTCGGAGTCACAAACGTGTCTATGAGCTCCTAGTAAAAGCCGCTGGATCGAAGTTGCCTGTCCACAATGGCAGCGGAGGCCGGGAGCTTCTCTTTGTGTTTTACAGAAATCCTGCGGAAATACTATCATCGGATGATGGCGCTCGAGTTGCAGGCGTCAAATTGGAGAAGACCGTACTGCAAGGTGACTCTCGTGCATATCCCTGCATTTGGCATTTTGGATGTACACAGAGACATGGATTGAAGCTCCTTACATATTTGGGAACAATGATTGGTATGCTTCGAGCATTGGTAGATTTTTCTGCTCAATATTGTAACCCGAGTTCCCGAATTGCTGAAGAGATTGTGAGTATGGCTGGCTTTTACTGATGGGGTAAAATGATATTCAATTTTTAGGGGAGAAGGATAAACCTCAACGAGCAGTTGGTACTGGGGAATTTGAGGAAGTATCGTGCGGGTGATTTACTTTATCCTAAGCATTGCTACAGTATGGTTACCTTCTCTGTATATAACTGATAATGTCTTGGAGACGAAGATGATGATTTATATTCTATGCAGTAATCTGTTTTGATTCTGGAGCCCATACCTGAACAATTATCCTAAACCTTTTCCCAGATTGGTTTTGAAGAGCATTGGTTACAAGTCAATTCCTATTCCTGGTCTGACTTTTGATCACCGTCAAGGTATGGTTTACACAATCTAAGTAACGTTGGGTGCAAGGACCTCCCCCTACTTTCCTAAAAATGCCATAATTCATATTCACTTGTAGGAAAGTGCATCTCAAGTTAGCTGTTAGTTTTTGGATGCTGTTTTTACAGTAATTGAAGGAAAGTAAAGAAGAGTACTGCCAACTTTCCTGGTTATTGCACTAGTTGCGTAGATTAGTTTGTAGATTTGTACGCGTGTAATTGGAATATGATGATCGTTGGGCTTTGCAGGTTTAGTTCCCAACTCAAAAGGTCGTGTGCTGAGAAGCGTAGAGGAAGGGTCTAGCTTTGTGGCAGGGCTGTTTGTTGTGGGTTGGCTGAAAAGGGGGCCCACTGGGATCATTGGGACCAATCTCATTGACGCTGATGAAACGGTACTGCCATCTTTCCTGGCAGATTTTGCGTCTTCACGTATTCAATTACTGAGTGCTTTTAAAGCGTCCATGAACATGACTTACATTGTTTAAATTTTTTTGTCACCTCAGAATTTTGTTCCATCCGTAACATCTTTTTCAACATCATCGTATATATACCCATTATCGTCGCAATGGAACATCAAGTGAATTTTTTGAATGTAATGCCCAACGTCCTTTGCTAGGTTTCTAGTTAATGAAGATCATCTACAGCTGTCCTTGCGGGCTTGCTTGACGAACGCTCTTTAAGTCTCCTCTCTTTTTGATCCTTTGAATGGCTGATAATGTTAGTTCCCCGTAAGCTCTGTTCTTTCATGATAAGCTTCATTATAAGTGAGTTCATTATTTTTGACGTTACTCACTAGGATATTTTCCACGATCAGGTTGAAAGCATAGTCGAAGATTGGACGTCTGGAGGCTTAGGTTCTCAGTCCAGCTCGTGCCCTCCAGGAAGCCGAGGGCTTCAGGAGTTGTTGGAGGAAAGATGCATTTCTATCGTTACGTTTGATGATTGGTTGAAGATTCATTCAGCTGAGGTAGCGCTTGGTTCAGAAAAGGGAAAACCCCAAGAGAAAATAATTTGTAGAGAAGAAATGCTTAGCATTGCTAAACAGGTCTCTTCTCAAACCCCGTGATAATATTTTCATGATATAATTCCCGACCATCTGATACAGTTTGTCATTCAGGCACGAATAAATTCTGAAGCTTTAGTATACTACCTGAAGTTGGTAACCTTGGTATGATCTGTGTTAGTGGACAATAACATGTTTAACTTGTTCATACCGCCGTTTGTGGCACAATCAGAAACTTACTTTCACTTTAAAACTTGTGTTGACCCGCTCGATGGCCTTTCAAAGCTACAAATGTGCTCGCTCTTCTGGTTTCGAGGCATTTGTCTGTGCCAAGCTGGACACCTTGAGATATAAAAACAGGACTATTTTAGCTGTATCTCAGTTGTAAGGACAGTTGAAATTGGATACAGAAATTGAATTTATAATCTGGCACATTTTTTATTATGCCTGGCAACACTAGATTCAAGCATCCTTGCAATCCAGGTTGTGTGACGAGTACCGAAGACCATCTCCAAGTTATTCTGGGTACAGGAGTTGAGTCAGTTCAGTGATATCAGAGACTGTCGCGTCTCAAGATACCAAAAAGAGCTCTATGTACAATCACCATATTAATGCCATATTACTTGCTTAGAACAGTATCTGGTCAAACAGGATCCGCTCGAAGACCTTGAACTAGAAACCCAAATCCATGGCAACTACCTGCTTAATCACATCTGCACTGGATGTTTAGGGACAGTAGGTAACTTGGTAGTTGCTGCTAGTTCCGCAAGTCCATGTGGAAGAGGAGTCGTCTGTAGAGTACGAATAAGCATCAGAGCAGGCAGTTTTAAATTCTTGAGTTCCGGCGGTTGATGCCGTTCCCGGACCGTCAGTGTTGTAGCAACCATCACCTGGGTCTCCTGTGAGCGTGTTTGGCGATTGGCAAAAGGAGTTCAGGTCGGCGATGGAGCAAGTGACATCTGTGCAATGTTGAGTGCCCGCTGAATCCCCACTAACAATAGATGTCATACTGATAGTTTGTGCAAGGTTGTAAGCGTTCTGCATGTGTCAAGCTGTTAGTACTGTTTGTGCAAGATGGATCTATAGATTCGACGAAGCTGATTTCGGAATAAATGGTGGGATTTTCACATGTCTCATTATGCTCTATCACTTGAACGTCGATGATCAGAACGATGTGATACGAGATTAGAAACACCGCAGCGTCCAGGAATGCAATGTAAGGCAAGTGCTAACGACCGGGAGGTCGTGACTGATTGAAGTATGGATACCTTCACAGATTGCAGGATAGAGATGATTGAGAGGGGGCTGACGTTCAAGACTTACCACGTTGCTTAAGTCATAGTAGTCCTTTCCACCAGAACCTCCAATAGTGAATTCAGCTAGATTCGCCTGGGGCTTTGCTGTGTTCGCGACGGAAGTATCTGTTCCAGGGTATGCCCAGATGACTCCGGCCTGCCAGCTGCTGGCAACGTCCAAAGTCTGTGACCCTCCGCCGGCGGCAAGCGGATAACAGTTTATGGTCCCCGATCCAGCTTGTGCACATGATACGATGGCTTCGGTGCACTGGTTGACGAGATTGATTGTGGCGCCTGCACGCATTGAACCACTGTGTCAAGCACCTGTTGCAACTTTCACATCACGTCCTCGAAATCATCTTTCCTTCTATATCATGCCTCGTTCAATCCATCACCAGTAGGACGACCAGATAGTTTCGGCATCTGGGGCACTGGCAACTTGGTACATAACCCTGAAGAAAGATCTACTGCACTCGTTGTCAATCAAAATGATGCATCAATTGCAGAATTCATGCAACACCAAAGTTGAATGGATATCTTAGGAAGGTCTAGATGAAACAGAAGAACTTGAGTGTTCTTTCAGACCATCTGAGATCTTCGCCAGAAGGCTGACACCGATCAGCATCAGCAGCAACGAGGCCGTCCACCCAGTTGCCATGATCGCAGGCTATACACGTAAGGGAAACGTTCAAAAACTCGAGTAGCTTCAGGCACTTCTCCACAGCAGTTGGAGTGCAGCAGGATGATTTGAACAGATAGAAAGCTCATGGTTATTTACAGTAGCCCGAGTGAAAGTTTCCTAAACATACCCGTCGCTGCACAAAAAGCACCACGTGCCGCCCATTTTACGATCGAGCTATTTCTATTCTGGTTTTCACACAAGAGTTCCGTCTTTTCTCTCATAATGAGAGGCGATGTTGCATCAATCCAGGTGAGTTTTTCACATAAGAAAAACTTCATGTCCTGCGCCCGATGCAGTCCATAAGAAAAATATTGATTTACTTTCTATATATCAATCTATAGATAATAGAACATTCTCTGTCTGTGACGGCAAAGCTAATTTATATACGTGATAGATTATATCATAACGTGTCATCTTAGATACTGAAACAGTATCTAAGATAACAAAAAAAAAGAAAGAAAAAAAAAGAAAAAGCAAATATAATCAAACGATCATTTTTACCATAAAATTAGAACAAAGTAACATGTCTGTTTCCCTTACACCGTATATTGAACAAAAGATCAGTTTGATAGATTCAAAACTACCAACATAATGTAAATTTTTGTTGATTTTAAATAGAACCAAAAAAACAGAATTTTCTGTGAGGAAAGCTGGGTGTACCGGTTGTACACGGGCCATACTAATATTAATATATATAGAGAAAAACATTGAGTTATTTTCTATTTATATATATATTCACACATATACATTTACATTTTTCCTTCTAAAAAAGCTAGCTGTGTATTCAGGTCATTGATAAGACGTAAGAATTAAAAGGCAGTAAATTTCTCAAGGGCTGGTGATGAGTGGCCAAAAGTCACAGTGCTCGATGCTACGGCGGGACTGAGACTGATGATCTTGTTGGGACCACAACAAGGTTGTGGTGTATTCGACAACGAGACTATCGCACTCTTGAAACCCATTTTATCCACTCCATTTACTTATCTTTTTAAAATATATTAAAATAAAATTTCAATAAAAAGACAAGCTAATAAAATTGACAGTTCAATCATTATCATTATCTTATCTTCCTTGGAAAATCACATTTCAGGAAAAATTGAGTGAAAAAATTGAGTTTTGATTTTAAATTCTCCATCAAGATTTTGATTCTGTACAATGAAACTGACTGATGAAGTTCGTGAATCTGAGCATACGAAATGAAATCTATACCTCAATGTGTACAAATTTTGGTTAAGCATCAATGTTTAGTTACTGTGGTACCATGTATTTAAGGCTGCATCTTCAATAGTACACATTTACAAAATTTCATTTTGTTTAGTATATTTAAGTCACGAAGGGGTTATGTGAATTCCTCATTTATTGCTTCCTTTAGAAGTTGAAAATTTGGTGCAGTACTAAAAGCTACACGGTCATGACATTTGGCACTGGATATCTTTGGAGCAAGTTTCAGGTCAATGCACATTAGAAAAATATAATAGAAAAAGGTGATTTGAAGTGATTTGATCCGGTTACCAGCATCGTATATATACGTGGGGCAAGAAATTCAAAAACTCAAAAAATGCATGATATAAGAGAAAAATGGAAAGAAATCAATGCTCGGTTTCTCTGGTTTGTATTCATCATTTCAAGAATGTTGGAAACGTCTGGAAACTCCTCTTACTCGTCTAAAAACTCTAGTCTGGAAAGTATCACATCCTGTGAGTCATTTGGGACCACTTTCACTCAGGAGTCAAGTCACAACTGATTCTAAAGTCCAATGTAGTAGAAGCGTTCTAAGACCTCAATTGAAACAGTCTAACGATAGTGCCACATTTATAGAGTTGGTAGCTGATATAACAGTCCAAGGAAAAAAGCAGACAAAGCAATCCTCTAAGGATTGGATGGAAATTTAAGGCCAACTTAAACAAAGATGGTTACAACTACTGTTCTATCTCAGAGGAGCTTAAAGTAGCACTTAATGGATTTACTTGTCGATTGACACGTTAGCTGGAGAGGATATCCACCCACATAGAGAACAGGCCTGTCCACAGCATCTAGAGGACGCTCTTCTCTGGCATACTGTCATGTGCTTGAGTCTACTTTAGACCTATGGGTCATCCTAGATCGAGATACCGAAATGTTAAAATGGCTGAATCTTCCTCCATCTCAGAAGAGAAATTCATTAAACTGGCTTCCGTGCAAATCGGATCCGTCTTTTCTAAGAAGAGACGCACTATCTTCTACATCTACATTTCCACAATTCATCCGATGCCTGCATGCAAGGTGTACATAGAAAATGTCATGGGATACAAAGAACATCACCGAGCCGTCTTTCTGGAAACAGAAAAATAGTGCAGTCCAATGCAAGTTTGTAATCAAGCATAAGATATAAACTCAACATTTACGAGACTCGTATACATTACGCCGTTCAACAAATCACAAGAGTCTAACAAAGACACAGGTTACAGGAACGTTCAGTCACGACTGGTCCCGGAAATTTACCAGTTAAAATGAGCATCACAACAAATAGCATTCACGATCAGCTTCAAGCCAGCTCCTTTCCTGTAAAGAAGTCATAGAACATTGAGCCAGGAACAATAAACTTTATGGGTGAAACAATTTGCAAAGAAGTTAATGGTCAATCCGTAAAAATACCCTCACCAAGTGGCATTATACATGCTGTAGTACTTGTCAAATGCCTCGGACAGACATGAGTTGCACGCAAGTAATTCTCGCATGTCAACCACTGGACATGGACCCTTACAGCATTTAACCTGTTTCCAAAGTAACACAGCGAAATTTTTTTTAGTCAGATGACAATCTGCAGGGTTCGATCTTGTTCCAGTTAAATTCTGGAGAACTGAGTATGCTCAGAATTCAATTTTAATTTTAATTCTATTTATTTTTCTTTCCTGGTTTTTAGTTTTTGATATTCAAAGACAAAAGAAGTCATGGGCTAACCAGAAAAATGTCAAAATACAATAAATATACTAAAAGCTAAACGGACTGCAGAAAAGTGGCTGCGGAAATCAATGCTTTCACATGGCTCAGCGTAATTTACTACTATATTGAGAATGAAAATCCTTTAAAAGTATCCTCTAAGAGCTGAAACGAGTGATAGTTCATGCTCTATGAATCAACTCACAGGGAGAACCGTCAGCTAGTTACATGCTATCTAGTTCAAATTGCTATTTAATCAATTTCAAATTGTAACTCCAAGAAAAAAAGCCAAGATAAAATTCAGAAAATTTTGCATCCTATTAAAAAAATGAAGGCAGGAACCAAGACAAAGCAGAAGGCGATCGATATCTAATGGAAGAGAAGGGATCTAGCCTGCTTGTCCCCAAATTTTCTTCGCGAATGCTGCGCTACCTTCCTAATTAGGCTTCATAATTTAGAGGGGTTAAGATTAACAATCTGGATGCTTTTCTATACATTAATAACACAAGTCACCAACTTGACGTTCCTGATAAAATTTAGGACCGTGCGAAGAGATTGTTAAAAACTCTCTGATAGAACAAAGCTAGAGTTGTTATTAGAGTACCAAACGATGAAGCTTGCGTGAATACATTCGGCGGTGAGATGGATTTTCCTGCATATGAGAACTCAAGTGGCCCTGACTGCAATATAATAAAGGCATTAGCACCAAGTGTAGAGAGGATAAAGTTTGACCAATGACTTATGAATGATTTCAATCATTTTCATCTCGTTTCAAGATATTTGAATATATCTCCGCTCCATCATGAGACGTGCACATTCTACCAAGTGTAAATCATACATTATGATAATGTCTGTTTAAAATTACTTGAACAGAAAACATATCTTGAAGACTACACTGCAGCATTTTATGTATGTTATTACTTTCGACAATTTAAACTGTGTGTTAAGAGCAGCCTGAACTCTTGACATTAAATACACGCATAAATTTAATATCCTCGATAAGGTGGCAGCAAACCTGTCACAAAATGTCTTGCCACAGTCAAGACAGTAGGCTAGGTTGAAGTTAATGCCGCACTTGTCACACTTTGATGCTTTGGCTTGGCCTTCGATTTCTTTGCACCTGTAAAGATACGGAACTCTCAAATTTCCACCCTGACTTTCAAACTGCTAAAACTTCCTAAAATAATAAAGGCCACCCACAAAAAGGTGAAACACAAGGTCATTGTGCTTTCATTTCAGTTGGTCATTTGAAGAATCAAGAAAGTCTTCTGTAAAGCACACATGAATGTGACAGTAACTCTATTTGCGACTGATCAAGAGAATGAAATACATCGTCAAGAACAAACCTTCGGTAAAGGTCCTGCAGCATTGGTCCAGCACTAAATGTTGGCGGAACCTGTGATGGGACAAATGATATCCAATATTCAATTATTGCATGCTAAACTGACCCAGTGTAAATTGACGCTAACATAGAATATTTAGGCATACTGTTAGCGACATTGGAATTATTTAAAGAATTTTAGCTTCTCAAGATTCAGAATGCAGCCCCAAGATTTTCAAACTGAATGGTTGCATTTCCTGGCATTTAGTCCGATGGTGTACAGACACTACCATAATAACCTTGAGAATTTGGATTCTGAGGGCACACATTTTAACCCGAAAAGATCACGGCTAAAGGAGGACGGTCGAAATTCCAGGAATCGAAATGTTACTTTTAATTCATTACTCTTATAGAAAACAAAAGCATTCTTACGTTATATTGTCTGGAATCAGAAGATGACTGAGCAGGAATGCCCATACTAACAACACAGTCTTCAGGAAGGTGACCAGGCCTCTTGCACTTCCAACTGTAAAAACAATAGTGAAGCAAGACGAGCAATGATTAACAAATGCGGCAATTAGGCTTCAAAAATCACATTCAATAGTTGATTTCTTAGCACGATTTCTTAACTACTGCAATACACAACGCACAGACTTCACCCTGAAACTCGTCTCACAAGATTCAGATATGGTCACTACAATTTTATTAGCCCAATACGTTTTCAGCCCTACAGCGTAAACAAAAAGCATTTCAAACTTTGAATGAAAACTTAAACCAATGATCGATAACTTGAGAGAAATTCATCGATGGTGGAAAATTTGCAAACCAGCGGAAGGTAGACAGGCTAGTATGTCGATAATTATAACGATTTTTCTTGTAATCCCACTTGTCAGGTTCTTCCTCAGGTAGTTGTAATGCACCTTGAGGAGTTGAAGGCGCCCTAAATGAGACATCTGACTCAGATGTCAACTGCCAAGAACTCAAAATGCTCAGATGCACGCACATATTGCCCTACGTTATAAACAGAATGAAAAAACTTCGTAGGTTCCACATTTTACGAGTTTCAATAAGAAATAAGAAGACGAAACAAAGATGTGATCATCAAACAATTGTGCGTGCAGACGTGCAAGCAGTAGCTCCTGGCACTTACCTTGACACGATTGGCAGTTCGCAGTTGCAACACCTCCTGCTTGCACTCAAGGCTACACACATCGTCTTCTGTCTTTAAGGCACATGTCATGTACTTTCATGAGCTAAAAAGACTAAAAACAGATGCAACGCTGGTGTGTCTTAGCAACATCCTTATGAAAGGTTAACAATTATCATACACTGAATGAATGATCTAGGAACAAAAACTGATAATTAAGAAGAACACAAAAACAAGGACAGAGAATGTGGACACCTCATCACAGATGTAAGCTCCAAACCGTCCACAAACCACGCATTCAGGTTCACCAGGTGCTGCGAACTTCTGGTCTACTCGTTTTGCAATAATTTGGTCACTGCAATTCTACATTAAATAAAATAAGCATTAATTCTTGTGCGATGGTTTATGCCAATGAATCACAATATAAGCAACACTTTTCATAGTTGATGCACCATTAAATGGCTACTTGAACTGTAATAATTAATAGAAGAACGCTTACACAACACAAAGAGCAGTCTAAAAGCACTTCCAGAAGCAGCGAGATACAAAATGGAAGTCCTGTACAAACCTGTTGCTCTAATACTGTGCTGCTTCCATTTACAGTTGAGCTTACACCTACATCTGTATCTGCACAAGACGAACACGGAAGGAAACGAGACTAATGGTTAATCTTGTTATTCCAACAAATGTTGGCAATGAGAAGAACGAAATGATCCTACAAGTGTAGCGAGTCCGGAGAAGGTTGAAGGATGCAGGAACTCTACAACCATATTATTCAAATGAGGGATCAACACTGCCATGTTTTGTTATGAAGCAGCACAGTAAAAAGTTGAATAAAAATATGAAAGTGTCAACAAACTACTAATGACGAAGTGAGTTTTGTTAAAGTCTGGTTTCTAAATTTTAGGAAACCAGATTACATTGTATCGTATATAAAAGGTTCATCAGTCAAACGAACTGTAGCTTGCTACCGAACACACAAATTGAAATTTGAAATGATAGAATAAATAGGCAGATGTAAGGCCTGATGTACCAGTGTCCTCATCGTCAGATGAATTGTCTCCTATGGAATTAAATCCAAGTAGAGAAGACAGTGCATTTCTGTCAGGAGCATTAACCCGGCCAGCTTGAGACCCTCTCTTGGAATCTGGGAAGAGACATCACAATGCTTTTGACCACGTTGTGCTAAAGCATGAAGCTCCAAATAGTAACTTCTAGAAACTAAAACACACCATTAAATCTTTAGAAGCACAAGGCCAAAATTTTGACAAATCTTCAAAAGGCTATAACGGGGTGCAATTGACAAGTAAATTGCTACACAAACCACAGACTTGCAGTCGGTATAAACCTACACGTATAATGATCAAGGTAGAGCAATCATCTGTCCATAATACATACCAGAGCTCCTTTCATACGCATCAAATCCTAGAACAGAGGAGGCCTGTCATGCACCAAAATGAATTGTTTAGGGACATTTCTCCTATAATGAAATGACCCACTGGCTGCGTGATTTACAATGCCTCGAGAGGATATAAGCATTTAGTGTTAAGTCATCACATGCTATCGGATAATATGTCATGCCATCCAAACCAGAACTTTGTGTACACTGCGAGCATTACGTTTTGATAATACACACAAAACCTAATTATCTAGTTCTAATGCAAGAAGACGAATTTGCAGACTTTGCAATAAGAGGATCGGGTGGTATAAAGCAGATAAAAGCATACGTTTCCGCGTGGTCCTGCGTCAGCAAAAGGATTGTAACCTAAACTTTCGAGATTAAATTTCGCCACATCACTGCAAGCAACAAGAAAATTTGCATGAGAGGAAACAAAGTTCATTAAGAAGTATTGAAACATAGCACCAAAACCCTACATGTGTGAATTAGCGTTGACGATACGAGCACAAGTACAAAACATTAATACGTTACACAAGTATGAAGTGCTCATTTCACACAGTAGCTGCTGCAAACTTAAATGTCTTTAAGTTGAAACTGATCACAAATCAAATTACCAGATCTTTTCCCACCAGCCTAACAAAAGTTTCAAACTAAAGGACTTCAAAAAGTGTTTCGGACAAGGCAACAGGGACTACAATAAATTACACGGTCCTATCAAGAGCATACGCCACGGTATAAAAACTCGTGCGTGCCATTTACCTAGCTTGAATAATGCTTGACCTCTTCTCTTCCGTCTTCTTAGATTTAACTCTTGAATAAGGGTGGTGTTTTTCCTTGTCTCGCCTCCCTGATGCAAACATAACTCACACATTGCATGTGCGTCTGATCCTTCAGACGAGTACCAACTATAGAACAGGACATAGATACATGTCTTAATATTTCTCAGCGATCCAAACTTTCAGCAATTCAGAGGTGGCAATGACATCCATCATGAATTGAGAGATTGCTCTCCTAATACCTCACAGCAATCATACGAACCTACCGCGAATCCCAAGATTTACAACAAAATTGTTAACGATGCCATGCACATCAACATAAGATACAACGACGATCTAAGAGGCTAGTGAGTCAGAGGAATAGAACACATGCCCGGTTTAAAGGGAGGAGACACTCAGTGCATAGGACACTGACCCTCTGTTTTCCCATGCTGCAATTCTTGTCCAGGGTTTGTATCCAAAGGTCCTGGATCGCTGCCCGTTGCGACTCTATAAGCTGTATCAGCAGAGCATTTGAAAGCTTAGTGAGAGCTGACTCCTTTATCTACTAAATTGTAAAGTTACATACAAGCAAAAGCGAGTTAATTCTTATATTCATCACTGCTTTGAAGATACATTTCTATTTCTCTTCTGTTTCTGAGAACATATTACGATAATCTAATTCGTTACCCCAAGGACCTGTAGATGACTACGAGTGTTCAAGGATCAGATGAAACCTGGACAATGAATCTTCCAATCTTTAACTCTTTTCCTTCCCCTCAAGATTTTTTCAAACCTAAAAGAATCAAGACAGAGAGCCAAAAGACAGCCCTCAGCACATTTCAGCGACACAAGTATATAAAACGAAGCCGCAGATACGTACCACGCAAATTGTCCAGGACAGATGAAAGGTCGAAATCTCGAGCATATTTGTACGCCGAGTTCTTGTAGAAATTGGAAGGCGTAGACATGATGCTGCTCCAAAAACAATACGAATAAAAGAAGGAGGGCAAAACACTCCAATCGTTGCTTCGCTCTGCACACTCATCAGTTCAGCTTGCGCAGACAACAGAGTATCTCCTCGGAAACATCACACCACCACAATTCATGGAAACCGGATGCAAATCCTCATGCATGTTAAGTCCCGCATACAGGAGACCATACAATTGAGTCCTCTTGCAATTCCGAACCCGCCGCAGCAATTCTTCCCAATCGAGCATCGTTGCTTCGTCGAGGAGGCAAATCATCGTCACTGCTCACTCCCACTCACGGTGAAAGGTCTAATAAGTGGGTATATGACCATGGGGGTTCTGTGACCGTGCTTGAACTCAGAGGTTTGGTTTGCCTTCGAAGCTTATAAGTCCGTGTCAACATCTCCCCATGTTTTTGAAAAGTGTACCATTTGGTTTCCCATTGAGTTTTTACGCCGTTTTTAGAAATTTAATGAATTTTTAGATTTGAGCTCAAGCCTCATGGTGATTTCTTTATTTATTTTTTGTTATGATAAGAATCTAATTTTAGCATTTAAAATGTTTGATTTTTTTATTTATACATTTTACTAAAGAACTATTTTGGAGATTGAGATTGTATTTTAATGCTATCCAAAAAATTTCATCATACAAAATATAAAACAAACATGAGATTTTAAATACATAATTTAACGTATTCAAATCGAAAATATTAATTTTATGTTATGTTTGAAATACCTACTAATATTTTTTTAGTGTTTTAGATTCCTTTAAATTTTTATCTGTAAAATTTATTTGCTATATGTTATTTAAAAATCATGTATGTACTTTATACAAAAAAAATCATGTTAATCTTTGTAATTCTCTAATTGGTTGAATTCCAATTCTTCAAAGAATGACTATTAAGTTTAATCAATTTTGACTAACATGTGATTAGTTGAATTTTTAAAAATACTCTTATTTATAATTTTTTGAAATTTTTTTAATCCAGTTTTGAAAGTTTTAAAAAATTAGGCAATATCATTTTACAATATCTACAATGATATTGTGATAAAACTTTCTTAACAAAATTCTCCTACACATCAATAATCATTTATCTTACTGAAGAAGTATCACAAAATTCTTTTAGGTATGAATAGAGATTTAGCTTATTATATGAATCACTTTTTAAGTGTTTATATTATATTATATATATATATATATATATATATATATATATATACACATACACACATACACACACACACACACACACACATATATATATATATATATATATATATACATGTTATAACATTAACTTTTATTATCCATTGTTACAAAATCATTTCTACATAATTTTTCATTAAATATATGTTTTTTAATTAAAATTATTTTTTTAAATACATACAATATAATACATATAATTAAAAAAACTATAATAAAAAAATATTTTTTTATTATTTGATTTTAAATTTTAAATTTTAATATATATATATATATATATATATATATATATACACATATAAAATGTTAAAGTAACCCATCTATTTACTAAATAGATACACTCTATTATAACTATCATTAGAAAAATGAATCATGTTACAATCATGACCTTCATTCCAACCTTCCATTCTCCTTTCTTAACCACTCCAAGCTACAAATGTGAGTTGTTGGAGGATTATGGAACTGAGTCACATCTTGGTGCTTCAAGAGGCTATGTTGAGAGTCTAATTTAGGTTGCATTGGGGTAGTTTTCAACTTTGGAGAAGCAGAGAATCAAATCACTTGAACCATAGATGTTGAATTTGGCACAATAAGGCATTGTCTCAATAGATTCATTAGCTTAAAGGTTGGTCCAATCAATCACATGTTTGCAAGATTGAGTCAAAGATGTAGGATGTTGCGGAGATGATGATAGTCTTTGGATAATCCAATAAGCAATCTTCATACATTACCTCAAGTTTTGTGACAATTTTAACAAAAGGCAGTTGCCTTAGAGGTATACAGTGACCTGCAATCCTATTAGAGACATAGTCCTTAGAACCTTCTAAAGACAACTTTCTAGAACCTTCTAGAGACAAGTTTCTAGAACCTTCTAGAAGCAAGTCTCTGGAACCTTCTAGAAGCTTCTTAGTTGGTAGAAGATGTTAGGGACATAGTCCTTAGAACCTTCTAGAGATAAGTTTCTAGAACCTTCTAGAAGCAAGTCTCTGGAACCTTCTAGAGGCTTCTTAGTTGGTAGAAGTTGCTTGAGAAGCTTCCTAAATAGGAGTATATATTGGAATCGAGGCTGAAGAGTTCTTCAATCTCGATAACACATCTCTTGGAGCTCTAGCTCACCTCTCTGGTGTTGTTCTTGTATTCATCTGATTAATCTAGTTCTTGCCAATACTTCTTGAACTTCTTGTTAGATCTCGAGCCTATATTTCTGTGTCCGTGACAGTTTGTCGAGACTTCACTCACCTCAGATATCAGAGCTAGTTTCTTCTTCGTTAGTGTGTGGATTACCTCTCTGCTTGGAAGTGTACTAGCATTTTAGAGGTTACAGATTACCCTCCTCTAAACTGATACTTCTTTTGTTACAATATTGGAGTCTTAATTTTTTTGGAGAGAGTGGATTACCCCTTTTCTTGAAGCTCTTAAGGCATTTTAGAGGTTGCGGAGTATCTTCCTCTAAACCAATATTGTCTTCTTGTAGAGTCATTTCTGTCCTTCTTTTAGAATGGCTGGAGGCCAAGACATTAGTATGACGGAAAGTTTGGAGTCTAAGTTGGATGCTATCATGAATGCCCTCGCTACATTATCGCAAAGAACTGCAGAGATTGAAGGAGTCTTGGCAAGGCTTCATAATGATGGAGCATCTGGGATGGCACAATCTAGGTTGCACCAGCCTCAAACTTCTGCACTTGGAGAAACAATTTTACCTCAGGTTCGACAAGCATCGATGGTTCTACAACATAAGGAGCCCCGAGTTAGCCTTCCGGACAAGTTCGATGGTACGTGTTCCAAGTTTTGAGGATTCGTCAATCAAATCAGGTTGATAACAGTTTTATAGCCGGAACGCTATCCAACGGAGGAGTCATGTGTTGGGCTTGTTGGAACCTTACTTACAGGGCAAGCTCTATCATGGTTTGCTCCTTTGTTTGAGAAACGATCATCCATACTAAACAACTTTGAAACCTTTTTGAAGGCGTTTGCAGAAGCATTTGATGAATACGACAAGGTTCGATGGGCTACAACAAAGATCCGATCACTATGACAAGGCATACGTTCTATATCAGTCTATGCATCGGACTCCAGGTAACTAGCATGCGACATCAATTGGGACGAAGAAGCGTTGATGAGTCAATTCTATTGGGATTTAAGGGATGATATGAAAGATTTATTGTTAACTCTTCCTGATCTACAAACGCTCAACGAAGCTATTAGCCAAGTTGTGAAGTGTAATAATCGCCTATTCCAACGCCACTAAGATCAACGTTCAAGACAACATACGATTCGCTATGCCCCAACTATGTCGGCAAGCAGCGTAAATTTGTATTCAGAGGTAGAAGACATGCAAATTGATGCGGTACGTATCAAATCTCTTACCCTAGAAGAAAAAAAGTGACGTATGGAGGAAGGTCTATGCTTGTATTGCGGTGAAGAAGGCCACAAAGTTGGAAACTACCTCAAGAAGCAAAATCGACGTATTGTTAAGACTAGGGGTGCGTTTGTTCAGGAAAACGAGGATGCCCAGCTTTAATAGGAACCGTGCGACTAGAAAGTGAAATATTGCAATAACAACCAAGTTCCTTTCTTTTCGCTCAACCTGCCCTTTGCTTTACAATCCCTTTGCTTATTGGCCCTCAGAAATTGAGAACCTTAGCATTATTAGATTCAGGAGCATCTGCTTGTTTCTTAGACGAAGAATTTGCAAAGTGTCATAAGATCCCTTTAGTACAAAAATCCAAACAAGTTCACGTTGAGGTCATATATGAGCGACCTTTATTGGCTGGTAGTGTCACCCATGAATCAAAACCTATAGAAGTGACGTTTAAGGGCCATAGTAGTCATATTATTTTTAATATTATTAGAATCCCATCAAATCCTGTTATTCTTGGTCTTTTCTGGTTGAAAAAGCATAACCCATCCATAGATTAGAGGTTGCGAAAGATGACCTTTCCCACAAAACCACCCAAGAGCAAGCCTAGTAGAAAATCTCGAATAAAGAAGTCTTTATTCATTAGAACAAGAGGGTTTATAAGATCGTCCAAGGAAGGCACATTGTTTGTCATTTATGCGGCTCCAACTATCGGAGAGAAGATCTCGACAACAAGTATACCTAAGCAATATAAGGATTTTAAAGACGTGTTTCAAAAGAAAAATGCTGACATACTATCGGAACAAAGACCATATGATTGCGCCATAGACTTGCAAGAAGGAGTACAACCACCTTTTGGCCCAATCTACAATCTATTGTAGATGGAGTTGGCGGAGTTGCGAAAGTACATCGACGAGAATCTAGCCAAGAACTTCATCCGTCATTCAAAATCGTCAGCTGGAGCACCCATCTTATTTGTGAAGAAGAAAGATGGCTCGTTGCGAATGTACGTGGACTATCGAGGCCTCAACAAGGTAACAAAGAAGAATTGTTATCCATTACTCTTAATTTTTGGTCTCTTAGAACAACTTGGACGTGCAAGGAACTTTATAAAAATTGATCTAAAGGGAGCTTACAACCTCGTACAAATCAAGGAAGGAGATGAGTGGAAGACAGCGTTCCGTACAAGGTATGGCCATTTTGAGTATAATGTCATGCCCTTTGGTCTTACCAATGCTCCAATGGTCTTTCAACATATGATGAATGACATTTTTTGAGAGCACCTTGACGATTTTTTGTCATCTATTTGGATGATATTTTGATATTCTCCAAAAACAAGGAAGAGCATGAAAAGCACGTTCGTTTGGTCTTGGAGAAACTACGCGAGCGAGGACTATATGCCAAGTTGGAGAAGTGTTTATTTCACCAAATAGAGATGGAGTTTCTGGGATTCGATGCGACTATAGAAGGCTTGAAGATGGATCCCAAGAAGGTAGAAGCAATCGTGTCTTGGGAGGTTCCGAAGACGGTTAGAGACGTATAATGCTTTCTTGGTTTTGCCAACTTCTATCGGATCTTCATCAAGAATTACTCTCAAGTTGCTGCTCCTCTCACTCGGTTGACATGCAAGGATAAGCTAGAATGGGGACCTCTAGCGAAGAAGGCATTTCAAGACTTGAAGACCGCATTTACTACGGCTCCAATCTTGGTACATCCAGACTTTACAAAGGCCTTTTATTTGGAAACTGATGCTTTGGATTTTGCTTTGGAAGTTGTACTTTCACAAATGAGAGAAGACAAGAAGCTCCATCTGGTTGCATTCTATTCTCGAAAGTTCTCTACTGCTGAAATCAATTATGAGATCCACGATAAGGAACTTCTTGCTATAGTGGATTCTTTCCAAGAATGGCATCACTTTCTTGAAAGAGCTGCACACCTAGTGACAGTATACATAGAGCATAAGAATTTGGAGTATTTCATGTCGGCTTGAGTTCTAAATCGACGTCAAGCTCGATGGAATATGTTGCTATCTAAGTTCGATTTTGTTATCACTTATCGACCTGAAAAGTAGCAAGGACTATCTGATGCCTTATCAAGGAGATCGTATCTTGTACCAAAGGCTGGAGAAGTAGCGTTTGATGAATAATGTACGACATTGTTGAAGCCAGAGTAATTTCAACTTTCTGCTACTATTGTGCCAATTGATGCTGACTTCCTGAATCAAGTACGTGTCGTGACCATTGAAGATTCAGTAGCCATTGATATTAAGCAGCATGCCAATGACGACAAGTTCAAGGTGGAGGGAGATCTTTTATACTTTGAGGAGCAGTTGTATATCCCAAAAGGACCAACACGACACCAAGTTCTTCAATCTCGCCATGATTTTCCAGTTGCGGGACATTTTGGATTCAACAAGACCTTGGAGCTTATTTCTCGAGATTTTTGGTGGCCCCAAATGTGGAAGGATGTGAAATATTTTGTCGTCTCCTGCAACATTTATTCAAGATCCAAGAATCCTCGGCATCGCCCTTATGGACTCCTACAACCATTGCCAATTCCAGGTTGACCATGGTCTTCAGTTTCCATGGACTTCATCACGGACTTGTCATCATCGAATTCATTTGACAGCATCTTTGTCGTGGTAGATCGGCTTATAAAGATGGCACACTTTGTCCCTTGCAAGAACACATCATCCAGTGAAGTCACAGTAAGGCTCTTTCTTGATAATGTGTATCGATATCATGGACTACCAGATGATATCATATCAGATCGAGGAACCCAATTCATATCAAAGTTTTGGAGATCTCTTCTTGAGATACTAAAGGTGGATATCAAGCTTTCTTCGGCTTTTCATCCTCAAACTGACGGCCAAATGGAACGTGTGAACCAAGTCTTGGAACAATACTTACGATGCAGCATCAACTATCAGCAAGACGATTGGACCATATATTTGCCACTAGTCGAGTTTGCATATAACAACACCCTCCATGCGTCAACTCAATACACACCATTCTTTTCCAACTATGTGTATCATCCGAAGCTTGATTTATTGAGTCTATCAACAAATAACAATCCAACAGTTGAAGGATTTGCGAAACAACTATCAGAGCTTCAAAATATGTTGAAGCTTCAATTACAATCCGCTCAAGAATCCTACAAGGCGTCTATAGATAGATTTCAGAATCAAGCACCTACTTTCAAAATTGGAGATAAAGCATGGCTTCTTTGACGGAATATCAAGACCAAGCGACCATGTGATAAGTTGGACTATCGAAGATTGGGACCATTTATCATCCAGAAGCAAATCAATCCAGTGGCGTACCATCTGGAATTATCGGCTTTTATGAAGGTACATCCAGTCTTTTATGTTTCTCTGTTGGAGCCTTATCGAGAGCCGTCTTTTCTTGGAAGAGTGCAATGTCCGCCACCTAGTATTGAGATCGAGAACCACGAGGAATACAAGGTTGAAAAGGTGTTGGATTCATGGTGAAGGTGGGGCAAGTTGGAGTATCTTGTTCATTGGTGCGGCTACGACATTAATGAGCGAACGTGAGAGCCAGGTGAAAATCTTGCCAATGCGCCACAAAAGGTACAGGAGTTTCATCAACAACATCTTCATAAACCTAAGCCAGTTCGACAATAGCTTCCTTCTAAAGCTTGCTCATCCAAGAATATAAGAAAGGGGGAGAGCACCACCAAAATTTGTAGTTGATGTAGTTATTTTCTCCAAGATAAAATAGAATTTTTTCAGTAGCCATAGTTTGGTCTTCTCATATTGATAGCCAAAAGATAGATACTATGCCAGTCAGATTATCTCAACCGACTAGCTCACGAAGGCGAGCCTGAGATGAAGAACCGCCTACACCACGATGACAACGGAGGATACCGAGTAACCGATCACTGGTGATTGTATTCGAGTTCGAGCCTGCTTATGATGGTCAACCAAAAGGCGTATTTACAGGACAATTTCATAATGAAGACATGGAAGTTCATGCTTGGTCAGAAGTTGAAGGAGTGGGCCACTATCGTTGGCTTCAAGGGCCGATGAATCACTTGCCTCGTGAACAACAGTTGGAGTTCATAGCAGACATTATGCGACAGATCTTTATTTTCTTGCGTTGGTAGTGATTAACAACAACATTGCTTCTCAGAGACCTCGAAGCTAAAGGAGGGGGTGATGTTAGGGACATAGTCCTTAGAACCTTCTAGAGACAAGTTTCTAGAACCTTCTAGAAGCAAGTCTTTGGAACCTTCTAGAAGCTTCTTAGTTGATAGAAGATGTTAGGGACATAGTCCTTAGAACCTTCTAGAGACAAGTTTCTAGAACCTTCTAGAAGCAAGTCTCTGGAACCTTCTAGAAGCTTCCTAGTTGGTAGAAGTTACTTGAAAAGCTTCCTAAATATGAGTATATATTGGAATCGAGGTTGAAGAGTTCTTCAGTCTCGACAACACAACTCTTGGAGCTCTAGCTCACCTCTCTGGTATTGTTCTTCTATTCATTTCATTAATCTAGTTCTTGCTAGTTCTTCTTGAACTTCTTGTTAGATCTCGAGCCTGTATTTCTGTGTCCATGATAAATCCTTAATCAATGCCTTCATCTATAGAAGATACATTGTGGCTCTCATCTCTAGCTGCTTATTGTCTCTAGCAACTAGTGAGGTAACTTTGTATGCATTCTTATCTTTAAACTTACAACACCTTCAAACATCTTATATACTATCATTTCAAAGGAAAACACGTCGACTAATTTGTCATAGGATTGAAGTTCGAAGACTTCTAATGCCATGTATCTATAACTCCTAATCTTTCCTATCATCTTGTCTACATCATGCATAAACTTTATGTCAATCAAATTGTTCAATCTGAAGTCATCAACCTTCAACTCATATTCGTTGTGTACTACAATGTAGTTTGAGGTTGCAGTAGATAATGGACTTGCTCTAATTGTGAAGGTAAGACATGGTGCAAGCTATGTCAAGGGCTTACTTCATAATACAATCAGGAGCCAAATTAGAATTGCTTTTGAGCAATTGATGCAAATTGCTCCTTACCTAAAACTTAGTAACTAACATGAGAGGTCTTTAATGGGTGACAACCCTAAGTAAATACACAATGTTTGAATACCAAACCTTTATGAGCAATTGTACCTTGTATTGGAAGTCCTTAATGACCATTTTGTCATTTAACAAAGAAGGTTTGATTGGCTTCAAAACAACATGTGTACTGCATCAAAGCGCCTTTCAAATCTCTCTTAATGAGCCTTTGCCAATGAGATTGCTAGTATCAAATTCAATCTCCAACAGAGCAATCTCCCAATTGTGGTTAGAAGACAATGGAGGGGCAACCTAAATTAGACTCTCAACATGGCACTCGCATATATGTGACTCAGCTTCAAAATCCTTCAACAACTCACCTTTGTAGCTCTAAGGGGGTTAGGAATTAAGAACAAGGTTGGGTATAAATAACTTATTAAGGAAATGGAACTAGAAACAAGAGAGGTTGGAATAAAGATCATGATTGTAATAATGGATTCTAGAGATAATACATTTAATGATAGTTACAATAGGGTAGGTCTATTTAATAAATGGATAGGTCACTTTAGCAATTCTCTCTCTATATATATAATACATATAATTGAATATATTATACTTAAGAAAAAATAGATAAAAAATCAAGAAATATATATATATATATATATATATATATAACTATTCACTATCCAAGATTAAAGAATAAAAAATAAAAAACTGCAAAAAATTTGTAAAAAGTTCTACCTAACTATAAATTGAAACTTTTGAAATCATATGGACGTTTTTCCAATGCAGTATTAATAATAGGAAAATGCCTTCTTCCTCAACGTTCAACACTTTGCTATTCTTGGTTAGGCTTGTATCAAGCACACACAACAACCAGACACTTAAAACGTGACCATGCGGTTCAGCCTACAATACAGTGAGAGAGAGATCATGTTACAAACGGTCTTCTCTGCCACACCCCAGTGTGTGCATGACATGCAGTTGAGCAGCTTGACATGCAGCGATTGTAAAAGAGCTCGAATCTTCAAGAGAAAAGCTCGATTTTTTGGCACCCAACTCATCGAAGACAGAAGGTGGGAGGATTTCTTTGGATGCAGAGAATAGTTTGGAAGGATGTTGCATTGAGTTTAGTTAGTATACGTGAGTGCTGGAAACCAAAGGTGATTTTGTGTGTTTTCATCGTGGGAGTTATCTCGACAGTTTCATGGCTGAAGAGGGTGGATTAGGTGATTCATGCAGAATTGACTGCAGAAGGGCTATTTGATTCAACTGGTTCACTACTGTTCGTTGGTATCTACAGTGGATTTACCCTTAGTCACTATTCAGATTACGCAGCTTGTGATTGCGAAACGGTTTCACTGCTTCGTTGATAAAAATGGAAAAAAAATGGAAATAACCCTAAGATGCATAGAATGCATTTCATGACTTTGTGGCAGACCAAACATCGTGAAAGCCCCGAACTTCACTCTTCAGATAAGTAACTTCAGTCCCATTTGAGTTTTGTGGGTGAAAGTTCATTTCTGGTAGTTCGATTGTGCAGCTGGATGTTATTACGAGCGAAAAGGTCAGAAAGGACTGAGGCTAGTACAATCGCTGAACATGAGTGATGAAACACAGCCACCAGGGCATTCAGGTGCTTCGTGTATGCACGCTTTATTTATACAGGATTAGCCTCTCAAGTCCCGATTCCCTTGTCAACGAAACTGATTAGTTCGTCTTATTAGTTGTGTCATGGTCACCGAGGTGCTGCACACTGAGTTATCAGATTCCACAATGAAAGATATCGCAAGCCACAACTCTTGCAATTTAAACGTCATCCCTCAGCGTGTTAAGTGATTCTGATCGGAACCATGAGATGCTGACAGGTGAAACCTTGGTGGAGTCACAGAAAGGAATCTCGAATGGTGCAGCAAGTGCGAAGCAAACCCTCGATGAAGCTAATGTGATCAGGGATGAAAGAGGTGCAGGCGAGCAGTCCTCTCACTCTTCTGCGGTAAGATTTTGCTGGTGAAGACGATTAGTTTTTGGGATCGCAATCAGAATTGGGTCAAATTGTTTATATCCTTTTATGGACTTTACGTTAAGACAGCGCCAAACAATACCTGATCATGTCAAACCCAGTTTGTCCCTCATTATTCAAGTTGCTTATGACTTTCCTCATGAAAGAACAGGGTAGTGGGTAAGTGTTCTCTTAAAATGGCTGAAGTATACCTGCACTGTGAAAAATTTAGCATTTGAATTTAAGAAACTCAGAATTTTAATAACCTTGAGTTTCTATTGATAATAATTGTCTGACACGAAGAGTGAAGTGTTGGTACATGTGTCCATGAACTATCTGTCTCCCGCTGATATACTTTAATGATAGACACGGAATCTCTTCCTTCTGAAATCGCAACATATATGGGATAGCTTGGAAATTGTTCATTTTTGTCTGGACGTTTGCTTTATCACATGCTGTACACAATGAACTGTAGGTTGATTGTATGGCATGGAGCTGTTTTCAAACACCAATTCCTATCGCATTGCTTGGGAGTGAGGGTGGCATAGCTGACTTAAGCGGCCATTTTAAGCCTTGTAATTCACAATTTATGATCCCAGGATTCCAGCAAATGAATCAAATGCTTCTCGTTTTCCAAGTACCCCTTCCCCAGGCAGATCTTCCAGAGCAACAGAACATGGGCCTAATTCACAATGGTCTTGTCGCCATTCCACTCATCCCTGTGTTTGGATACAGTAGCGTGCCAGGCTCGTCCAGTGTGTCCCCTGTTCTCTTGCCAATGCCCATCGGTGTATCCATAGCCATGGAGACCCTTGCACCACCAACAGGGGTTTCTGGGGATCTTACGCACGGAACTCTGAATCGAGTGACAGAACGAGAAGCGGAAGATGCCCAACGTCCACAGGTGCCTCAACGGGGTGGAGCTGGAGCAGGTGCACAGAATCCTGAGGAGCCTCATCGCCAAGGAAATCGCAGGTGAGCTCATTCAATTTTACCTGTTTTGTACTCGCAAAGCATAATCCGCACTTTTTGACCCTGTTATTCTCTCTGTTTGAAAATAAGTTCAACATATACATTAAGAATTATGACAAAGCTTGATGCCCTTTTCCGAGTTTTCGCGGTAGTTTTGTATTCAGAATGGATTTCGAGACTTCATTGTTTTACCAAAGAGTTGATAAATACTTCAGAGGACGAAAACGGTTAATGCACAAAGGAAACGTAGAGTTGCATTGACAGAGCGCTGTGGGAAATGGAATTAAGATCTCACCAAACTTTGCTTTTGCACATCCTTTCTGCTTGGCGCAATTCACATTTTGCTTATGAGCATACCCCCTCCTCCAAGTTCCACTTCGGTATTTCCTATCATACAAATTTGTGGAAATCAAATGACAGCGGCCATATGGCGTTGATATACTAAACTAAAGCATGTGCAGATGCTTGAAAACATTACAATGTCTACTGAGCTAATCTTGCGCACACTCCAGTCAAGAATCATGCAAAATTAAAATGGATTTCTGCTTTTAGAACCGACTCTGATGATGATTTTAGTTTTAAACTCTCAAAAAAATTTGCAATAACAATAGAAAGTGTGGAGGTTCATTTCATGAGATTGGTGTGTGACTGCGCCAGGTTCCAAGTAGGGTTTCAGCTGGACTTGTTGCTGCTGCTGAAGCTGGCTGTTGTGGTGTTTGTTTTCAACCAGGATGGATCTAAGAATCGCCTTGTTGTTCTCCTCCTCTTGGCTGCCATTGCCTACATGCAAGTATCACCTGACAATCATTCTTTGAAGAAATGAGTTCTTTCCATCATATATATATATATATATATATATTCTTTTAAGCAAATGGCTGTGGTTTTTAAAATTTTAAATAGTATGCAAAAATGAAATGCTTAGAATTGCATATTTAACCATTGGATGTTAAAAATGTAATTCATAGTATATTTATATATCAGATTTAATTCATAAATACCAAATTTAAAACTTGTTGGAAATGTTTTATTTTTTTATTTTTATTTTTCCCATGTAAATTATTTATTCATAGATATGTTGCACCTTATTAATATTTATATGCCAAACATCAGATTTTTTTACTCTAGTCTAATTAAATATACATACATTTATTAATAAATAATAATAAAATTTTGTATTAATTAGATTTAAAAGGTTGTCTAAAACATGAAAAGAAAGAAGTTTAAATGCTTAATAATGTTGTATGATATTCAGGCATCAAACTGGTGTATTAGCACCACTATTGCATTGGTTCTCACAATATGCACACAAGGCTATGATGCCTCCACAACCATTGATTAACAACATTGATGGTGGCCATAATGTCCAATTGCTTGCACATGGTGTTGGTGATGGTGTCATTGACGGCCATGATCCAAGTATGCAACATGAAGATGTCAATAGGCAACAAAATCTAGAAGATGGCAATTGGTGGGGATTACTTAAAGAGCTACAAATGCTTATTGTGGGTTTTTTTACTTCTTTGCTTCCTGGTTATCAACATGTTGATTAATTTTATAGAATATAATAAATTATAATATTTTATTCTTTTCCTACCAAACATATAATAATAGAGTTTTTTTAGACAAAGTCTACAACAATTTTGAATATACAATTAAATCAAGTTAAACTTTTATGTATAAGTTGGAATGTAAATATTTTTGATATTCTTTGAAATTAAATCAAAATAATTTGGACTAATTTTACTATAATAATAATTATTTATATTATAGTAGGTAATTAAAAATATGATTTTACCAAAGTAAAATAGACATCATATTATATACAAAATATCAAATTTTTTAATTTTTTTGTATATAAAATGAGAAGTTAGTTTAAAAAATTATTCAAAATATTAATAGGTAGATAAAGTTAATAAATAAAAGAATCTATTGTGATTGTAAATAAAAAGAAGTAAAGATATAAAATAGCTCAATTTATGCTTAAACTTGATATTATCACAAAACAAATTAGGGAGTATTGCATCTTTCATTACTTAAGAATAATTGTGGAATAAATATTTTTATGTTTTTATTTTTTAAGTAATATTTTAAATAAATATTTATATTTTTTATTTAATAAGATTGTTTTATATTTTATAATTGATTATTTTTTACATAATATTAAATTTTCTATTTCATATTATTAATAAAATTTTAATAAAAATATTTTATTATATACTTATGACATTCTTCTACAGGTAATTGAATATATTATTTTAAATTTTTTAAGTAAAAAATGTATTTTTTATATTATTATCTATTTATGTTCAAGAATGATATCAAAATATGGTTTTTATTTATTTTAAAAAATCATCATACCTAAACTTTATATCATATTTTTAAAAATATACTTTTTTTTGAGACAATTCTTTATTATTATCTTTTAGTAATATTACTATTTATTCTTAGCATTTATTATTATTATTATTATTATTATATATATATATATATATATGTATAATTTTATTTTGCAACAAACAAAGAATCTAAAAATTCTAATAAAATCTTTAAAAAATCCTAATTAAATTATTATAATTCTAATCAAATCTTAAAGAAATTATAAAAATAATAAAGAAATTATTTTAAAAATTCCTAGAAAATCTCTAAGTTATTTCTAAAATTATAAATCCTAAAAATATCCTAATCAAATCTTAAATATATTCTAAAATTTTCCAATAAAATCTTAATTAATATTTTTAAAAACTTCATTGAAATCCTAAAGAAATTCTACAAAATCCAAATTAAATCTTAACTAATCATATCCAATCCTAACCAATCTCTATAGCAATTTTTAAACCTCAATAATAATTAATCAAACTATTGATCTTGCTTAAAATTTTACTCACATTTTAATTTATAAGTCAATAACAAGTACACAAATTTAAAAAAAAAAAAAAAAAAAAAAAAAAAAATACCAATGAGAATAAAAATCTCCCAACTTGATCAAATGTCAATCATCATCTTTCTCCACCCTTGATGTCAATCTACCAGCAACAATACCTCCTTTATTGAATTGTTTACTTGTCTTTAAAATTGGCAAAAATGCTAAAAACTAAGTTTATTATCTAATGTATAAAAAAAAAAAATTCAATCTATTTGGCAGATTGCTCAAGATTAAAAAAACAGTCATGGATCCTTGAAATCCAAAATTTGAGATTCTATTCCAATTGATTTTTAATAACCTTTTATTTAATTGTTAGAATAAATTTAAATTTACAAAATATATTTATAATAAGTAGATTTGAAACTTTTCTAATTTTTACTTATCAATCTTGTACAATTCTTACAAAATTCTCAAATATGTATCTCTTTTTTATTTCTCAAAATTCCAAATTACAAAAAATAACTCTAAGTTTGCAAAACCCTTGCAAGGTCAATATCAATCCAAATCACTTTAAATCAAATTTCAAAAGCAACGTTAGTACTAAATATTTTTTCTACCTTCCTAGCTTTTAATTATATTTTATTCCTATTTTTATTTTATTTTTTTATAATATAATCCAATTTTTTTTCCTTACATCTAATAGTTATGTTACAACATAACATTGCTACTTGCAGATATGGTGTTGAACTTAGTGATAGATGGGGAGCACTAAGTGCTTTATTTCCTACAAAAAAAACATTATTATTCACTACAACCTAACTGCCAACTGCTAATACCTTTTAAGATGATGTATGTTTTGCCTTAGTACTTGTCTTATTATTGCTTTGATAAGGTGAGTATACAATTACTTCCTTCATCCCTCAAAGATACATAAGTCACTTTGTACTCTGTCAAGTGTGACTAAAAAATGTGAGGTCAATTAATGAAGAAAGAAAGATTCACATTATTGGTTTTCCGTAAGTACTATACTATGTATCTACAAAACTCACACTATATAAGTCAAGAATATTAGTATTAATATTATTTATCTTTTGCATAAATTACAAAACTCTATGTTGTTGGTAGTAGAAATCATTAAAGACTATAAATTCTTAACTTAATACCATCATTAATATAAATATTAATTATATTAATTTTTAAATAAAATAATTGAATTATTCTCTAAATTACTCCTTATCTACTATTTTGCACATGTTGAATGTTTTTGTCATCTAGCCTTCTTTGACTTCCACACTAATTCTACAAAGCTTGGATGATGTGTTGTTGACAATCGTACTTTGTGGTCTTATAATCTTTAAAGCTGGAAGTCTTTGGCTTCATCTTTAGTATGCTGTTAAGTCAATTCTTTTATGTTAGTACCATTGTAAGTATTGTCAGATCTTTCTTCAAAGATAGAGAGGAATCTTGTATTTCTTTCTTTTTTCATTATGTCCAATACTATCCTCTTTTGTTTTTTCATATATTAATTTTCTTTTGTATTGAGGCTATCTTCTTCTAACAATAATATTTGGTATTAGTAAAACAAGAAATTAAAGAGAGAATTTTCATTGCTTTTCCTAATAACTACTTCAAAATTTCTTACATTCTTATCATTTGGTTTACAAAATTGCCCACCATTTTAATCATACAATTAACCAAAGCAAGCTCTTACTGATTCATTGTTGGATCCTAGAATTGTGCCTTGGTAAGTAGCTTGAGGTTGATAATATAGATGCCTCTATCTCTTTGACTTGATTGCATGGACAACTTGCATTAAACTATTTATTGTGATATTTATACTCCTTTTATTTGAGTAACTCTAACAAGATCTACTACCTCAACTCCATCTCTATGCATCCAAAAATATATCAATGTCTTTATTATAAAAATACAAGTCAAATTTCAGAAATAATGAAAGTCTAGAAAGTAGTAACTTTGTGCTTGCATTAAATTACTTGCAAATGCTGTACATAATTGTAGCATTAAATTACTTGCAAATGACATATGTAATTGTGCATATGATATATGTAATTGTGCATATGATTGTCATATTCAAACACATCATGTGCACTATGACCATACTCTTGCACATGTGATGATATTCTGTGCAAAGTAAGCATGATTGGTAGTGTGAAAATCCACCATTTTGGACATATTTCAATCCATGGATACTCACAACCCCTGCACACAAAGCGTCATAAGAAAGCATCTGAGAACTACATCTAAGACATACAAAGAACAGGCCTTGCAACTGAAAGGACTTGTACTTCTGCACAAACCACACAACGTTGCAAAACTGTGCACAATAGATGTCCACCAATAAATAATATATCTCAGAATACACCATCATTGGTTATTACTGTACAAATAATATGGTTATGCTACGGCCTGATCTGTATCACAGAGAAGCAGTGCACCTATTTCGGAACTCTTTTGTTATTTTTCAACTCCTGTAGCTTCCATGCTCCGCTGCGTCTAGTCCACAAGCCGGAAGTGCAACACGTGGTCAGCCACGACGAGAAGCAAATGCATGCCGATGCAGGCCGGCACTCCGAAATTGCACTTGACCGAATTTGAGCTAAAGAGATGGGAGCAGGAGAATTCCCATCTTCGACAGTGTGCTCATACAGCTTGAGATACCGACCGATTGGATCGGCGCCCAACTCATATCTATGCGCATCACTTCTGCACAAAGCTTCCCCCCTATAGTGGCTGTCCTTTGAAATACCAAAATGCCCAATCCAACGTACTCGCCAATGCCTGCAACGAGCAACCGTTGGACGTGTTCAGCAAGGAAAGGTGCAAGTTGGCGTGTGAAGTTGAGTGACATCCAACGAACCCAAAAGAACGTTTCCAACTGGCTTTGACAGGAACACAAATCGCTCACTTCCTCAGTTGGTTCACTTCGCATCTCCTCAGACACATACCACGGGTGCCTTCGCCATCTTCACAGCGTATGTCACCTCTGGCATTCCCAAGTGGAGGGGGCTTAATCAATTGTCTTGCATCTTTGACTCAGCAATCTGCCTGCCCCCGAGCCCTTCTGCGGCGTCGTAGCCACCACCTGGCACCCGAAGCGCTTCCACTTGGACCTCCTGTCCGCGATCAAGTACCGGGTGTCGAAGTAAAACTCCACGACGATTTGGCCTGCGTCGCTCCGCAGCTCTGCCTCCAACACCGGCCCCAGCTGTTGCCGCAGCGAGGCTTGCTCGCCCTTCACCGCCACCGTCAGTTCCCTGTTCTCCCTCGGCCTCAAGGAGAACCGCAGATTCACCTCTTGTCTCAGAATCAGATCGCCCCTGTACCTCACGGCCACAACCATTTCTCGAAACGTGGTGAAGCACTTTGCCACCGTGTTCGGGCTCCGTGTCGAGAGCGAGAGGTTGAAGTCGCTGCTCACCAGCCACGGCGAGTCGGGGGCAGCCGCGGTGGTGTTCTGGTAGACGGCCATGTCACGAATGCTCACAGTCTGGAGCAAAATACCAGGCGGTCTGTGGCAGCTACCTATTATAGATGGTATCCACCCGTACAAGTAGGTACAGAATGAAACCAACAGCACCAAAAACAAGATTGAGCATCCCCTTCTGGCAAACCTTTTGAAGCAGTCGCAGCATCGTATTCGGAGCGGCGGCCGGATATCGACCCTAATCGTGTAAGTTCTGTCCCCTGCGCAAGTCTGCGTTGTTGCAACTGCCCCCGGAGACTGCATAGTGCAAAGAATGGTCAGAACTCTAGAGAGTATGTGCAAAAAATGGTTGCAAAATCATCGTAGCGCAGGACTAATATTGTAAGCTATTCACCATGGAGAGCAATTCAGAGGCACAGTAATCTTCAATTTGTACTCGACTCACAATCATGTAATCTAAAATTGTGAACCGACTTTGCACGAGAAAACCACCATTGGCACGGTGCAAAGTCGGCTGGTGGGATACAGTCGGTGCAGACTGTTGTTGCGAACGCAAGGAGAAGCATCACGGGTGACAGCTGGAATCTAAGCAGCTAAAGTCAAAGTTTACTGTTCCCGGACTGGAGGAATGAAATGTGCTTGGTTTAGTCGGCATCGTTTATCTGTCGACAGCCTGATGATGGTTTTTGTGGTTACTTTGGCTACATGAAAGACCAGCTAATTTAAGTGTAATCACTTTGGGAAGCTCATTATTTCGGCAAATCCTGCAAATTTCTTGCAAGTTTGGCAGATTAAGTCAGCTATGGCAGTATCCTTCATGTGTTTCCAATACATGATTGTAATCTGCAAATGTTGGAACTCAACTGCTTGATCATGTCCACACCATCAGTACATTAGCATGTAGAATTGGAGGCTATTCTTAAATCCTTCACTATCTGTCATATAAAATAGCTTGGGAAGGGAGAAATACATCAGATAAGTGAGAGGAGACAAAACTCTGTCAGATGTGCTGCATGCCTCATTGTTTTCATTAAAAAATTTGATCAAAAGTGAAGCAAAATTGGAGTTTTTAGGGCCCTAACGATCTCCCCTTTCTTCTCTAAGTGTTTACAAAGGTATAGAAATCCCTCCCATCTAGCACGTTGATGTAGCATGCATTCCCAATTTGTAGGCTATGGGATTGTTTTTGTTTGTGTAGATACAAAATTTGTGCCAATAGATCTAGAAAAAATGTTTTTATTTCTGTAGATAGGAGTGCTTTGAAGATCAGAAGAGAATATTTCATGTATCTGCTATGCTGATACACGTGAGAGGAGTTTTAAAATTGTTTATCTTTCTTAAAAGTATTTAGTTGCATGTATAGGTTTTAGTTTTTGCCATTCTTCTTAGTAATGGGGTGTGATTTGATTAGCATCTTTTATTGCACTACTTTTCAGGTGGTCAATGATGCCGTTATAAGTCTGCTTTTGTTTTTATGGGCTGCTCTAAAAGTACCAAGCTCTTTTCTTTTGATATTACCAAATGTAAAAGCTAATAGGTGGAAATCCTCAAAGTCTTTATTTTTTCTAATAAAAGAATGTGATGATTTGAGATTTGATATTTGCTTATGAGTATTATAAATTTAATTTGTTACTAGAGAATGAACAATAACATGTTTGGATAGGTATTTTAGAGCACATATTCTTTTGTGAAGTTCATATTGAGCTTAGTAAATATGATACTTTTGTTTAGTCATGTATTCAATGATTCTTTGGCTAATCTTTACAAAAAACTGCCTTTGCAGGGTAACAATGTTCATTGCAAACCTGAACTTCATGACATTTAATCATAGAGAGAAATTATTTGAATCCAAAGTAAGAGAAGCTAAAATTTTAAAAGCATTATGGTCTTCTTAGCAAGAAAGTATGTTGCGCTTTGATTATGAGTATAGAAAATCTATTTGGTGACAGAAATATTGTTTAGATTTTTGCTAATTCTTTATGGAGTGTTATTTGTGTGAGAACTTTTGCATTGTGAATTAAGACTCTAGTGGCTTAGATTCAAGTTTTCAAATAAGATCTAAAGATTTTCATTACTCTATAAGATCATTGACCACAAACATTTACAAAGCTAATAAGAATATCATTCTCAAGAATTTGCCTAGATTAGAATCAATATAGCAACAACTATGGCTACTTTATTATAGTTTCACAGAGGAATTTTGAGTCCGTCTAAGGAAGCTCAAAGCAGTTGCTCTTGTTGCTGCAAAAGTCTTGAATATGAAGAAAGTTGCTGAGCAGCATAAATTTAAAAGATTAGGAGGTCAATGGCTCAGGTTTAGCTAGTTACATACATTTTAAATTAGTTGACACCTACACAAACCAAAGTTATGAGAAATAAATCTATTTAGGTTGAAACAATATTGGGAGTTGTATTTCATTAGGAAGATATCATCCACAACTTAATCTATTTCTACATGCTTTTATTTACTTCTACTTAACTACATGAGGTGCACAAAATATTATTGTTATTTTTAGATATGAATTTTATAAGAAACAATTAAATTTTAAGTTGCTTCATAAATTGATGAAGTCTTAGGTTTGTCAAATGATGTTTGCTATTAATTTTAATCCATATTAAGCATGAAGATGGTTGAATAATTGTTTGAATTATTGACACTACAAATTCTAACTAAAATATTCAACTTATTCATATCAAATCAATTAGTTAAGTTGAAGTGGACCAGTATTAGCAACAAATAGGATTTGAAACTACAAATTCTAACTAAAATATTCAACTTATTCATATCAAATCAATTAATTAAGTTGAAGTGGACCAGTATTAGCAACAAATAGGATTTGAAACAAATGTACATAGATTTAAGTATCTTTCTTGATTTAAGATAATTCTTATAAGAAAAAGAAGTGATTGTAGTGCCCACATAGAAGCTAGGAAATTTTGTATGTAAAAGTCTCATTAAATGTATTCTTGATTCAATAGCATGTTCAAGACAAAAATTCAGTACTATTTTTTTTTAATTTTAGGTGTGAGATAAGTTTTCAATACAACAAGTTATTTAGTATTTTAGAAGTTAAACAAATAAGCTTTGGACTAGTCACTTATGTTGTTTGTAAAAATTATTGGAAGTTTTTTCTTAATAAGAATCATGTAAATTATAAGACCTTCTTAATCCTAATAAATATACTAAGATAATTAAATAAATCTCTAATGTTAATACTTTTATATTCAAACAACTTAATTTTTTTTAAAATACTAATTTGCCAATTAAGATGCATTAGTAAGATGTACAAATAGAAAAAGAAAAGTTCTATTTGATGAAGGTTTTTGTAGAACTTATTTTTTAATATAATATTAAAGAAAAACATATATTATAAAGAATTAAAATTAAATTTTGATTTTTTTAATAATATGTATGTGTAAAAAACGTGATTAAGTATTTGTAATGTAGATGTGAAAAAATCAATAATGCAATAGTATAACTCAAGAAGAATTTAGTATCATGAATTTTTAGTTTTTGGTATAATGTTGCTATATCTTCTAATAAATATTTTTTATATTACAAGTTATTATAATTTTTAAGTTTTTAGGTTTTATTTATTTCCTAAAATTACCAAAGTTAAAATAAAGAATTTTATAATTAATGAGGATTTTTTAAATTAATTATTTAAGATGAATAAATACAAATATACTACTTAAACATTGTTGTCAGTATTATATATCAATCTTTAGAAATAATCTCAATCTTCATTTAGATTAATTTGTAATTTATTATTCTTTAAAAAATTAAAAAATTAAACCAATAAAGTATTCTCAAATAATTTTATTTAATATTCAAAGATTTTTATAAGTACACCAATTCTCTTTATGAATAAAAAAATATTTATGTATCCCTATAAATCCGTGTATGTTATTTTAAAAACATAAAAATTAACCATCAAAAATTATTATTTTTTTATTTTGGTGTTTAGGATTTTTAGTAAATTTAATAAATTTAAGATTTAAACTCAAATAAATCTTTAAAGAGCATATTATTTAATATGTATTTAAATATATGATAAAAAAGATTAAATTTTAAGCTCAATATAGATACTTCAAATTTTTAAAAATATATTTTTATTTTACTAATACTTTACTTCTTTTTCTTTAGAATTTGAAAAATAAAGCTTTCTTTTAGATTATATTATATTATATTATATTAATAATATTTTCCATGAATACATAAAAATACAAGTGAACTTTTTCAATCATACTATAAAAAATCAAAGGTTCAAAATTAAATGACAAGAAAAAAGAATTATATTTTATACACTTAAAAAAATAATAAAATACACCATATCAAATAATGATTCAAAGATCAACATAAGAAAGTTTAAACCATCATATATTGTATAATTGTAAATAAAATTGAATGCATTTAATTATTTTCAGTATTTATTAAATAATATCAAACATTTGTTAAAAAGAATTGTCAAATTCTTTTTTCACTGATAAAATTTACTTAAAAAAAAAAAAACACGTAAATTAAAATATAATTATTTCAAATTTTAACTATTTTATGTACAATATATCTTATATTATGTTATTCAAATTTTTAGTTATTTTTTTATAAAAATAAATAAATAAATTAGATATAACTTAGGTATAGCTTTTTAAAAAGAACCTAAGAAAATAGATTTTATTCTTTAAACATTTAATTTTAAAATTCACAAAAAAAAAAATTAAACTTGTTTTAATTTCTATAACAATTGACCATTAATATTTTTAAAATCATTTTAAGAATTTTTTTCATTATTAAAAAAAATCTTATAATCTAATCATAATCTAACTTATCACATGATCCTTAAGTATCTTATGTTAATAATTATTTAAAATTAATATCAAAAAATTTAAACATCTGATTATTGAAATTTGTATTTAGTATCATATTTTATTTTTAAATAAGTTTTTTTATTAGATGCCTTGTTTGGACACTATTATTTTGAACCAAAAAATGTAATGATATATATGATTAATACAAAATTCTTTTGAAACTAAAGAACTTATGTTTTTGAGCTATGATATTAAAATATTTAATTGACTACACATTTCTAAAAAAATTAATTAAGAAATATCAAAATAATTTCTTTTGTCCATTTTTAAACAAAATTATGAAATGATTTGGTAATATATTTCTCTTTCAAATATTATTTTAAAAAATCTTAACATTATCTAAAAATTTAGAAATGATTTATTGTCTATCAATTATAGTATGGCTTTCCAGCAATTAGACATCTTGGACATAGTAAAATATTAATGATTATTTTTAATTTAGTGGTTTTAAATACTAAAAACTATCAAAAAAAATTAAAATCTTATAATATACATATTATAAGTAACATAGTTCAATAGCTATATTAGTTATTTTTTTTGTAAAGCATAGATTAAAACTTGTGTAATCATCATTTGGCAAATTTAGGACTTTGTGATTTTTTTAAATTACTTAGGAACTTACCACTCCTTGTAGAATTTGTTTCAAGAACAAAGACTAGAATTGTGGTTATCTAATCTACTTTAAAACGTAGAAGTTAACAGAAGAATTTAGGAATAACTTAGTATGTAATAACTAATTATATAAATTTTGAAAAAAAAAATCTAAATACAAAATAGATCTACATATGCACCATGTTTTTAATAATAAAACTTCATGTTTTTAATAATAAAAATTCATGTTTTTAATAATAAAAAATAATACTAATTCAAACATGTAATAATTCACACAATAAGCATATTATTTTGAGTGTACATCAAATTACGTTACAAATTATTTACATAGTTATGTCTATGATTATTATATGCAAAGAATTTATGAGCAATATGTCAATACTCATTTACAAGTAAATAATAACATTGCATACAAAGAATGCATGATTGGTAGCATGAAAATCCATAAATTTGGACATATTTCAATGCATGAGTGCTCACAACCTCTGCTCACAAGTGTCACGTGGAAGCTTCTAACAGCCACAAATACTTCATGCAAAGAATAGGCCTTGCAATTGAAAGGACAAGTCCTGTACACATCACACAACATTGCAAATCATATGCAGAGACTGTGCACAATAGATCGCCACAATAAACAGTATATTTCAGAATGCACCAGAATTGGTTAGTACTGTACAAATAATATAGTTGTGATATTAAATGATCTATTTTACAAAGAAGCAGTGCGCTTATTTCGATATTCTTTTCTAATTTTTCAACATATTCTGTAGGGACTAGCACCTGTGATTAACAATAAGCTACTCTGCTCTGCTGCGTACAGTCCAAACCGAAAGTTCAACACGTGGTCAGCCACGACGAGAAAAAATTGCATGTAGATGCAGACCAACACTCCGAAATTGCACTTGACCGAATGTGATCTCAAGAGATGGAAGCAGGAGGATGCCCATCTTCGACAGTATGCTCATACAGCTTGAGATACTGATCGATTGGAGCGGCATCCCAACTCAAATCTATGCGCATCACCTTCTGGATAAGGCTTTTCCACCACTGTGGCTGTTCTTTGAAGTACCAAAATGCCCGATCCAAAGTACTCGCCAACGCCTGCAACGAGCAACCGATGAAAGTGTTTAGCACGAAAAGGAGCAAGTTGGAGTGTGGAGTTGAGACATTCAACGCATTCAAAAGAACATTTCCAACTGGTTTTGACAGGAACACAAATCACTCACTTCCTCCGTTGGTTCATTGAATGTAAAACCGTTGCGCTTCTCCTCAGCCACATACTTTTGGTCCACGTCGAACACACTGTTTTAAATGCCACAAAGCACGCCGATTGGCGCATTTCAGCAAGGTCAATACAGGACCTACGGTCGAACCGCGGTCAGCACAAACAAGATTTCAGAGATAAATGGCATAGTGAACAACGACCAAAAATGCAAATATGTAAAAACAAAGAGAGAGCGAAGCAACTCATCAAACCTGTCAGCTAGCCCTCCAGTCTTTCGAACAACAGGAATGGTTCCGTATCTCATGGAGTACATCTGGATGCAAATCGTCGAGTATCAGAAAATCATGTTATAACGGAAGAATAATCCGACGATCACTAGTTTTCTAAAAGCAGGAAGACCGGGAGAGAAGCAATATTTGTGATCCGACGCGTCTGTGGGTGCCACACTAACCTGAGTCAGACCACAGGGCTCAAACATGGATGGTATCACAAAGATGTCGGCTGCAGCGAAAATGTTGTGCGTAAGTGTCTCATCACATCTCAATATAAGTCGGACGTGAGGATGATCCTCAAACTGCTGAGCGAGCTCGTCAAACTCTTTCTGCAAGTCAAAACATTATCCATTGCATAAATCAGCAATAACCCTGACACATGTACCAGATACAATGAAAAAGAACACTTTCAATTTTGCGACAGGCAATACTATGCGATTCATCTTGAAACAGAACATATCCACAAAATGTGAGGTTTGTCACACCTTGATCTCAGGAATCTGACTGGTCCCTTGCAAAATAAATTGACCACCACGGTTAAGGGTGTGAAAGATCGCCGAACGAAGCAGAAAGACACCCTTCTGGGGTACTAATCTCGACACACAGCACACCTGCAGGGAAGCAGAGTGGATGCTAGTTCAAAAATAACCCTTTTGATATTACATTTCTGATAGCTCTTCGTGATTTTCAACAAACGTAATAATATGCTCATACAATCCCCGGATCTGTCAAAAATTTACTAAATACAAAGGCATCGTGAGCTCACAAGAGGCCTCCTCGCATCAATTCCTTGAATTGCCATGCCCAGACGAAGCCGGAGCTTGTTCTTCAGCAACTCTTTTCCCTTCAAATCGTCTGCAGTGAAATGATGCTCCAGATGGGAATCAGTCGCAGGATCCCACACCTTATCGTCGATTCCGTTGACGATGCCATAAAATTTCTTGGTCAAAGACCTGAGAGTTGTGTGCAAGCCTTCACCTCCCTGAATGTCAAATCACGTTTAGTCTCTCTTATAATAGGGAAGATTTGAGTGTATCCAGTATCACCCAACTGCGAAAATCGCAACACTGCTCACCTCCGGGGTGAGGACCTCTCTAGCATGAGTAGGTGATACTGTTGTGATGAAGTCCGAATGCAGAAGTCCACTCTGCACCCACAGTAAACCTTATCATCAGAAACATGCTTTCAGCTATATCTCGCACTGTCATTCCTCCATACGAGCCCTCAAACCCAGCTGCAAACTTCTTACTATCATTGAAACTGGTCTATCTCACCTTGAGAACGTTGATCTTATCAGCCAAAATGTTGTCTTGGAAATGATCCTTGTGTAAAGGGGCTTTGAACTGAATACCACAGGACATCAGCGCCTCCATCGACTCCTTACCTTGTGGCTCAAAATTGTGGCAAGTCAACGCAATTTTAGCCCTAAGACCAGCGTTAGCATAAATGAACTTGTACATAGGCGCCTGCAAGGAGAAGTAGACACAAGGTCTAAGATAATGAGCCGATTATCATCTTAGATAGCAACCTGCAACTTGACCATGCTTACGCAAAGTTGCGAATGAACGCAGCAGTTACATACCACTACGGCCACTGGCCAGTCATGACAATGGATGAGATGGGGGCGCTTCCCGAATTGCAACAAAAACTCGAGAGATGCCCGAGAGAAGTATGTGAAGCGCTTGAAGTCGTCCGGCTCACAGTAGATTCTGCCGCGGTTGAAGAATCCCGCTGGATGCAGTGGGTCGATGAAGTACACCCTCAGACCTTCCACAAAACCCGTCCACACCACATTCTCGTGCTCCGCTCCGTCAAAGTAAGAGAAGAAATGCTTCTCCAATTTCTGCACAACGCCCAATCAAAAGCCTGCTTCAAACACCGACTTTCCATAAACTTTGATTACTACACTTCTGAAATCCTGAAATTGCGCCAACTCCGATAAACGGCAGCAACTAAAGATTTGCCAGAGACAATACATGATGATATAACGAACCTTAAAATTCTTGATAAGAGACGTATCCAGGGTCTTGTATTTTGGGATAATAATCTCCACCCGGTGGTGCTTCTCCTGAAGCGCCTTGCCAAGTCCAGTCACCACATCTGCTAAACCTCCCACCTGTCACACATGAACATCGTCTCATGAGATTACAACTGTTGTGCGGCATTAAATCCACACGTGACTAGATGGGGTAAGCAAAGAACCTGGGATTTCACCATATGGCACCACAGGAGGAAGCGACACCCCGCCCCAAAATATGACAAGCCCAACAGGAGATGGTTCCATCCCCATTTATTTCACTGGGTTTATCCATTTTTCCAGTATGGGCGAGTTTACCCATTCTCCTCTAGCAAGAGTTTCGCAAATCTTTCACTAGGACTTTATTTATTTACATGTAACTATATATAGAAAATGGTTTTATTAGCCTCTGTTTTCTTACCTTCGCTACGGGGGCTATTTCGGTGGCGAGATGCACAACATGGTATAGAGGCCTGCAATCGTCCCACAGAACAACTTTAGTAAAACCTTCGACACAAGCACTTGCAGTGGCCTAGATTGTAATGACTCACGACACGCTAAAATTGTACATGACCACTCAGTAGATCATCAACCATAGCTCTTGAAAGGCAGCAAGGGAGTTTGAAATGGCAGTACCGTTTTTCGGGTAGAGGACGTTCAAGGGAGCCAAGAAAGGATGCAACGATATTCTCAACCTGCCTCTCCCGGACGGAAGGTGGCGCAGGCGGAATGCGCCTTAAAGAGGCACTCACGCCATCTCTATAGCGGGAAGGGAGCAAAACATTGTTGCCCAACACAAGCTGCAACCAGAAACATCTTTTATTACATGTCGGCGGCTCTGAGCTTGTTTCATCTGAAACTTCCCTAAACGACTTCACTACAAATTTAGAACCACAGGAACTCCATCAAGAAGCAGTCTCAAGCTAGGAATATTGCAGTAGTATTCTACCTGATCGCTTGCGACTGTCCGCTGCTGTCTCTGGGGCAGGACCGCGTCGAGTCGATTTGCCGAAGCAACCTCTGCGAAACGACGTCAAACATGCACTCAAAATGAGACACTTTGTGTTCTACGTAGAGCAAAAAAAAATAAAAAAAAAATAAACAAAAACAAAAAATCAAAAACAAAAACAAACAAACAAAAACAAAAAAAAAAAACACTTCTGTGAAGGTGTCTTGCAATGCATTACACATAAACCGTTAAATGAATCGCGACAAACTCATGACATTAAACAGTGAACACTGTTCTTCGTAGAGCACGCTGCGGTAAATTAAAATTCACAAATGCCCGACCCTCCTGTGGGGGAATCATGCTAACTCTGCAGCGCAAATGCTGTTTAACTCATATAATTTTCCCCACTTAAGGCTAACAGATTCCCAGGAGGTGGAAACATGAGATCAATTCAACAGTCATTAATTACGTCTTTGTGTCATGCAGGGTGGTGTGGTACTCACTGACTGGCACTTCTTCAGACCGAGTGTGGCGTAAGCGATTGGAGTCTAATGACATGATTCGGATCCCTTTTCTGTTGGTCAACCACTTCGCAACAGCAACGAGTGTCACTCGATCACTCGGTATTCACACCCGAGAATAGTATAGCACGAGCTGAGTGGTCGAATTCGGACCTTTGGCGAAATGGAATGACGATCTACCTACAGGTGTTGGGCCGAAGAAATGGAAACTAACTCCGCTATGGAAAAAAGAAGTTTCACTTCAATCGGCCGAAATGCACAAGCAAGTCCCTCTATGCAACTCAAGCAACTGTATTCCTGCCTCGATTCTCAAGGAATATTGTTGTGAATTCAAAGGTTTTACGTATCAGTGCAAAAGTCAACTGAAACAGGACTTTCTTATCCCCTTCACCGCGCGAGCTAAGCTGCTGCAAGACCTATGACCTCACCGAACACTCAGAGAGACGCCGAATGAATGCACAAAGATGTGAAATAACTGTAAATCTGAAGTGAGCACGGAAAGTTCGAGAAGATCAATCTCGCAGTGGATATGCAATGAATCCAACGTCGAACGGCTGCGCAACTGGGAGCCCCGCGAGGAGTGTGGTCGCTCAGAACCAACAGATGAAAAGTCTGAAAGCCTTGGAAGCTTCGAGAGGATGTTAGGAAGGCGACGAGACTGGGAAATATTCAACCGAGAAACAAACGACAGCAAGTTCAGCTCAGATGGCGATCTCATGTCCAGTTCTTCATTATATAGACCTCAGGCTCAGGGTCACTCACACAACCCCAGAAATCCGAATTTTTTCCAGAATCCCAACGAAGAAAAATATATATATATATATATATATTCGCATAGGGACACTGTAAGCACAGGTCGCACTGTTGAAGCGCGACGCTCCCACTTGACACCGCAACGTGGCTGTCTTGCAGCATCCCCAGCTCCTAAATTTAGTGAGGTACCAACGAACTTGCACAACAGGACGCTGCTTCTGCGATGAGACGAAATTCGAGCGATGGAGTTGGTGCCAGACGTGACCATGTTGTAAATTTGCAGCTGAAATGGTCGCATCCCTGTGTGCTTGCCTTACATTTGCCTGTTGTGCTGGAGCACCAACGCCATGCCTACTCCTCCAGTGGGTTTTGTTCCCTACGGGTCAATGAGAGCTTGTTTGTCATTAGAAACATGCGTTTGTTAGCTAACTCTTAAACCCAACTACTAGGGACCTGACATTGTTCTCAGATGATACAAGAGTCGCTCTTGTGGAACTGTAGATCAATTAACAAAGTATAGTTAGTTGTAGTTTGTTAGGCTGACCTGCTGCAATGGTTCGTTTAGATGAACTGGATCCTATTCTTGGTTGTAATCGAAGAAAATTTGCACTGTTTGCGATTTGTGCATTTGAATTGGCATATTTTGGCCCAAACACACACATCAACCCTTTAAATGCTGCATATTCTCATCCATGTATTCTTGGACATATCACCTTCAGTTGTGAGAAGATAGAATGTTAACCTATCACACATAATTTTGAATAAGTTATATGTATACATACATACATATGTATGTATGTATGTATGTATATGTGTATACATATATATATGTGTGTGTGTGTGTGTGTGTAATTTCTTTATTTCTTTATTTCTTTCTGTTCATGGTCCATTGTAAGCTAATATTGGTATAAAATTTCGAATATATCATAGACTGAAAAAGCACTTGGCTTGTGATTGGACTAATTTGACTGTGGTAAAGTCTTTAACAAGATCATAAAACCAGGATAATAGTTTATTTCTTTTGATCCTTTAGAATTTTACGTGTGTCATGTCAATTTTTCAAGCATGGGATGTAATTTACAGAAGAATTTGTCATATTAATTAAACTTATGTTAAATAAAATAGTAAATGAATCTTAAGGAATAAAATAATTTGAACAATCATTTCCAGCACTTGTGAAAAATTTAAGATAATATTGGTTGTAAAGCATTGTATACCTTAACTACATTTATTTGCAGTGTCAATCAGTGGCTTGACTTTTTATGAGGTATTTTCATAAAAAGTTATTCTAAGAACTGACTACTTACTGTTCATTAAAATGCCATGATTGATGCAAAAAGAAGAAGAAAAAAAACATATATATATATATATATATATATATATATATATATAATTTATTTAATGTCAAAGTTAACATAAATTACACCAGGAATATAAAATCAAAAAATTGAAACTCATGGTAATACTTTGTTACTTTGGGAAATTGAACAGTGGAAAATCTGATGTCTCCTCTTTACATAAACTCATGGTTTCATATTATTAGGCAGATGCTCATGATTAATTTTGATACTTGGACACAAGTATCTAAATCAAGCCATTGGACATTCATTTGTAAGAAGTATATTAATTTTTAAATCAAATAACACTCCTCATAACACATCTGTCTTTCTTTTTTGACACATACAAGGAGGACCAATTTCATTGATTGATGGGAGGTGAGTTTTCCATTTTACAATCTAATACTCTTTGTTATAGGGTAGCCTTGAGAGGTAGAAAAATTGGTGTATTGATACAACTTACCTATGGATCCAATCCACAGCTGGTGTGTGAAGTATAACTCATCTTTTTGCATGCAAACTATATATATATATATATATATATATTCACACACACACAAACCTATTCAATCCCATCAACTTTAAATGGTTGATACTCTCAGTCAATTGAGATCATTACACAGTTTTCTTTTCTCACCCTACGATCTCCACAATTTCTTCAAACAGATATTTTATCATGATGGAAAGTACACAATAAAAATCTATAATGGCAAGGGGCTTTAACGGACACTGAATAATATCTCTCCCTCGTTGAATATAATTAGCCCACAGATTTCAAGGCAAAGCCCCAGATTGAGTGTCTATCAGCTAAAATCTGCAAATAATTGGTACCTACTCTAAAATATGGGTGTGATTTATTTTTATATCAAAATACAATGGTAAAATGTAGCTGTCAATACAAAAAACATACACCTATCAAAGATCTTCCTTTGCATGCTAGTGACAGCATGTTTCCTATACAGTGTTTGCCAAGGAACACCTGGAAGCATGTAGAATCTGTACTTCGACTCCCCGCAGATTTTGGAAATGAACATACAGCTGCCTTTGTGCATGGAAGAGTTTCGGTGGTAATAGATGAGAGTTTTGCTCACCTTCCATTCGCACTCCAGAAACTTCTTGCGAGCAAGTGGAACTTGGGAGCCGCATCGTTCCTGGAGCTCATGCTATTTCATGCACGTCTAGTTCACTAAATCGGTCTATTCAAGACTGATTTATTGGAAGACTTGAATTGGTGAATAGCTGAGAAATCGTGCTATGAAGAGATCTGCTACTTGTTACATTCCAATTGGTTCACATTGTCGTTGTACCCACTTGCATACTGTACTCAGAAACTGAAAGCTTGAGAATAATCAAATCACTAAATGTAAACAAAAACTATTGAATCAAAATAATATTGCAAGTAAACGATTTCCTCCTATGATGTATATTTCAGGTTTTTAAAGTAATATATGAAAGGTGGTTTTACATGAACATGAGAACTTATGTGATGCGGGACTAATCGTAGGTGTGCAGAAAGTTTGAACACTCACCCGAAGCAAACACAGAGGAGTCTGCCGAGCCCTGAAGGCACATGGAAAAAGCCACTAAAAAACTAATTTCATCCATTTGAAAGTCATTGAATAGTCTTTATCGTTATGGTGCTGAACACTTGGCTTATTTCAACGTAACAGGTGTTGCGCAACCAAGGCTATGGATCTCCTAAAAGCATGGTACTACATAATGGAAGTGGGGCCAGGCAGAATCCATCTCTTGGTCAGCATTGGTTGCAGGAAAATGCATTGTTTTAAACCTCAGATCTGGCCGAATGGCGTCGATCGTTGCTTTGAGTTTTATTGGTTGTTCTGCTAGGTGCCTTGCTTGTGACTGAACCCAGTCTAGTGCAGTTTCCTCCTTGACTGTGGATTGCTTTGATGTTCCTAAGCATAACTCGGCACCGTCCACTTAAATAGAAGCTGGCTATTTCTGATTGGCTCTGACCCCACCACGGTTGAATTTGTTTTCATTTTAATTTTAAAAAAATAAATTTTGTTGTCTACAATTGTATTTGTGAAAACCCAATGTTTTAAAAAACAGGTATATGATGTCATGAGGTGAAACAACAATCTTATGCTGCTTCGTGCACGTCTTGGATTAGAATATGTGAATATCATAGTAATGTTTAAGAAAGGAAGATTAAAAGGAAAATTTTGCAAAAGAAGTGTACACGTCGCCAAGTATGAAGATTGGAAAAAGATCGCCCAACGTTGACAAAAACTGGAATAGTATTTGCATTTAAGAAAAAAGGAGGCTAGTTATTACTGGGGTTACGGCTAGTCACTTTAATACGTTTCTGATAAAAAAAAATAAAAATAAGTGGGGAACAAGAGAAAGTCGCTGCCATGTCAGCATCTCAAAAAGTGAAAGGACGAACTTCTTCAATTGAATTTATTGGAGGTTGATGACGTGGATGCGTGGAACTTCACACGTGGCAGAGTTGCCACACTTTGTGTTTCAATGGCGAGTGTCAGTGGTGGACTAATGTTGGTAAAAGATATTTGCTTCTCTTGTTTCTTTTCATGGAAGTTGGAACCACCTTTCGAGGGGGAAGTGGAAGGAATCCTGACTGTTGTTCTTCACAGGTTCTGTGAGGTAGGTCTTGGAATCCACTTGTCATACACAGATGGAAATAGGAATGGACACTCATGTCGATCAGTGTCGATGAGAAGAGCTGCATGGAATTACGGCTGAAGGCTGCATGGAATAACTTCATGCATGGGCGGTGGTTCCACAGTACACACACCGTAAAAACACTAACAATAATAATGATAATACTATTCCAATTTATCAACATTCTGCATTTCGAACTTCGAGACCAAATATTGTCAATGCTCGGACCAAATACTGGGGGGCGAGAGAGAGAGAGCAAGGATTCCATAGCTTAGAGTTTGGATTGAGCATATGCAGTGGGGACCTCTTTTGGCATTTCCTCATCTGAAACCAGACATGTGCTTTTGCTATCCTAGCATGGATAGATTCTCTAGTTTAATGCATTTCTGGATGCATTTTGCATAGGACGATCAAGCATTTCCAACTACATTCTGACCACACACTCAGATAGGACATACTCTTCAGGTTGGGTCAAGTCTTCCACATTATTGTTTCCCATATTCAAAAGCAAAACTATAACATAACCCAGAGGTGGACTCATAAAAGGCGGCTCACACGATTTACGGAACTTCTCATTAATCAGCAAGGACGATCACCTCTTTCTGTTTCAAAAAAGATTGAAAAGATAAAAATAAATAAAAATACATTGGCAGATTAGCAAATCTAGTTTGAGGAACAGTTAATGGCATGAAAACCAAGCCGAAAACACCCTATGCAGGACGGGCCTCATGCACGTTGCCTTGCAGTCAACATTGTTTGGAACAGTAGGGACAAAAATTAAATAGAATCATCCAGACTCCTTGACAGGTGCAAGATTCACATCAACCAAAGAGTATGAATCAAATATTGGCTGTATAAACACAAGATAGGCGGTAAACCCAGACTGAGCAGTTCTCGTCGCACACACTGTCTAGATGCACGCAAGCAAGACCGCCCTCTCGTTCTTTTGATTGACATAAAGACTAGGGGTCCAGCGAAACAACTACCGACAGATTCTCTGTAAGAAGACACTTTTCGACAAGACGTATACGACAGATGGGCAACTTGTGTTGCATTGGGAATAGTTGCGGTGCTTGCAAGGAGGGATAGGCCGTCTTGCAAACAGATCATAAAAGAGCCAACCGATGCACAAGAACGTGGAGAACCTCGGTCAGCACCCGCGCTGGAGAGAACACCAGTATTTTTGAGCCCGTTATTCATTTGCAGAGCCAAATAGACTCCAGTCGTGTACATTGAAGGTGAAAAGAACTTGTTTAAATACGTCGGCAGCTGGCATAAGTCCTGCCTGAAGGGCTGGCACGGTCGCACCTGCTCCCACTGCTTGAGCGCTTTCGCTGTGTTCACTGAAACCAGCATGACGTTAATGTGAATTTACTTGTGAAATATCAATCATGATATCAGCATCAAACGTTGAATGAAAATATAAGGTCAATGAGAAGGCCTTTCAAACTATTCAAAGCACATAAAAACTTCTAAAGCATCGTTACCTGATAACAAGAGGCTCGTAAACAATAACAAGAATATCTGTTCCCACTACACGCAATCGGATATTCGCCAAGTATACCTACAGACACGAAATGACGTGAAATCTGTCAGCCTGCCAAATTTACATAACATATGAATATTTGTAGCAGATCCCCATTGACATTGAAAGCATGTGAAAAAATCATGTTTGAAAAGATATTGCATTTGTGACTACAAAAAACTTTCAAGAATGTTCCAAGCCTTGTGGTGGAGAAATAGGACATTCTAGCTCTCCATAACTCGCCTTTCTGGAAGCTTTCCACACATACAATAGTTACAGCATATTGAACAATCCTGACTAAACGTACCCGCACAACATTGGAAGCTTCGGGACCTTGGCGACCCTTGGCAACAGCCTGCATGTGTAAAACAAACGACGCTCCGGAAATTCACTGATGATCGAGATTTTCAGGTCGATCCAACACAAGCCACATAGATTGAGTTATTATTGGAAAAGAACTTGACAAGGGTGGCTTACCATAGTGCCAATCACAGCATTGACCGTGGTGTTTGCATCCAAATTGGGAACGTTGGCTGCAGGTACACTATTCTCCTCTTCCACAACCTGTTTCCAGCTCCTCCCCAAAAAAATTAAATCGAGGAAACAACTGCCGACAACAAATGCCCACCCGTTTTGCAACCACTGCTAACACTGTCTATGGACCTATTCCAGAGGGTCTTCAATAGCAGGGTAAATCTCTATTGCTCTATTGGTTTTAGATCGTCAGAATTCATTAGAAAAGTTTCTTAATCACGAAGGTATGCGTACAACCCTTGTATGATGATCATTCTTACCAAAAACATGTTAGACATGTATAAAAGCAGAAGTTCAAAGGTGATGTGGGATTTCTGGAGATTAATTAATTCTAGAGCAATGTTACGAGGAAATATGAGGCACACCAGACTGTTCTCAGATGCTTGCTCCACGGTTAGATCTTCCAAGAACCAGCGGGCGCTACCTGCATCAGTGACGTTCTCCTTAAGCTCTAAAAGCTCAACAATGAAGCTTTCATCCCGATTGGCATCCACGAAGGCTTCCTACATTTGTCAAGCAATTTTCTGTGAGGATCCAGCAAGAGCGACACACCAGCGTACAAAAATTGTTGAATTGACAATGAGTGATAACAAAGTACTAAGTGGACAGAAACCACACCTGATTGTTGGGTACTTCCCGAACGTCACTCACATCCTGCGAGAGATTGCGATAGATCATCAAACCACTATTTGATGAAAACATGTCCTGGGTAAAAGCAGAAACAGGACCAACACTTTGATATACATAGGTCGTACGTTGAACTCTACCAGGTTCGTGCAAGGTGCAGTAGGTGCATTTACGAATACAGAACCCAAATTCTACGTCACAAAAACAAAAAAATCAGATACGAATGAATCGCAGAACATGAATCCCAAAAAGTAAAGAGTGGAGGACTTCACTGTGTATCTGCGAGGGAAGCTGCAGGTGATAGCCCCACCAAACAAAATCATATTTTCAGGTCTCTCTGTAGAAAAAACCTAGATCAATATCTAAATCGAAATAAGCGCACCTCTTCCAACTCACGAACACCAATCGAATTACTGGAAAATGCACATAAAACCTAAAATCGAGTCATCACCAGTGGGAATCGCGGTGATAGGCATCGGCGCATTCGCAGTGTCGCACTCGCAAACGTCGGAGCCATTGGAAGATGGATCTAGAGCAATGCCCGCGAACTCTTCCTGTAACTTTTGTACCAAGTCCGTTTGTGGAGCATGTGCAGAGTCGCAAGGAGTTGTCACCTCGTCCTTCATCATCACGTTCTCCTCGACAACAACAAAGAAAAACACGATTAAGCCTTCCCCGTTCTACCTGTCTACGTTACTCTTGCGTGCTCTCGGGTTTTCCCTTGCTGGTGATTCAATCTGTTGCAAATCCTGTGTGGCTCTTACACAACAAACAGCTAGGCTGGGATCTCAACATCAATTCCAGGACATCTCCTTGACACTATTACGACTTCTACGGCATCTTCTGCACCTTCCCTACAAATCCTTCTCCTCTCAAGCATCTGGACAAGGTTCCAAACACGATTTTCTAGGTTTGGAATGCTGTACTCAAATTTTTCTTGTTGCAAGCTCCACGCCTGCGACATTCGATTGCATCTGGGAAGTTCCAAAAATCTAGTTCCTCTTGTTTGTGCCACTCTGACTGATGCCCTTGTGAAGTCGTGAAAGAATAAAACAGCTATCAGATGAGAGCTACTAGATTGACTTAAACTACAAGTTAGTTTTTGATTTGGTGGAAAGATAAGGAATTGAAAAAATAAAGTATTAAAAAAAATTAGAAGAATTAGAGATTCAACTGGAAACAAAATCAGACACAAGATTAGAGACAAAGTAACATTTAGATAGTTTTTGAGTTTGTATTGGTGTTTGTTTTGTTTTTTTTTGTTTTTTGTTTTGTTTTGTTTTGTTTTGTTTTTTGTTTTTGTTTTTGTTTTTTTTTTTTTTTTTTTTTTTTTTTTTCTATTCTAAAATGATTTTAGAATATTTTTTTAATGATTTATAAGTTAATGCATGTTTATAATATCAGATTCTTTATTAACAACAAATTCTTGCGAAGTGTTTTAACAACTTTGTGTTTTTAAAAATTGACAAAAAATTTGGTAAATCTTTGAACTATATGTTATTATTATTTTTAATTCAATGGATTTATAAGTCTATCAACCAATATTATTAGAAAAATATTATTTTAATAACTTAATTTGAGTTAAGACATTTACAAAAGCCTTTTTATATGACATGGCATATTTAAATAATATAAAGACATGCATGTCTTTGAGATGCTCACGATAATATCTTAAAGTATATTAATTTATTTTTAAATTCAAAATTATTAACCATATTAGCATTACAATATTTTTGTGATTGTTTTAAAGAACTTTATATCAATAAATTTCTTCACATATCTTTTTTATTTATTAGTGTACCATTATATTTTTATGCTTGATGATTGCTTCGATAGAAAAAAGACAATAAATATATTGTTCAATTTTTTTTATTGAAAAGACTAAAAATGAATTAAATTCACCCAATTAAATGTCTTAAAATTCTCACATACAAATTAATATAAATTAGTTAGTTTAAATTGATTACTATATATTAGTCTAATTTAAATGATTAATATATTAATAATTATATAGTATAATTAAAAATTAGGTTTTTGTAGCATAATTGAGAATTAATTCCAAATACCAAGCAAGGTAATCCAAGATTTGTTCTACATCATGAATGGTTGCATGTTAGCAATCACTATTTTTTTAGATCAGATTCTCTTCCCTCTTTCGACACAATATAGTCCAACAAAACACCCTTTTGTACTACCAAATATATTTTTGTTAAGATTTAGAGCAATTTTAGTTTTTCTGTAATATTCAAAAATCTCTTTTATATGATCTAGATGGTCCTTAGTATTTGATTGCAAACTAAAGAAATTAATAAAGACCGTGATAGACTTGTGCAATAAGTCCAAAAAGGCAAATGTCACAGAAGAATAAGTTTCTTACCAAAGGATGAATTTCACAAATTTAGCCACCTTGTAACAAGTTGCTTTGATGGTCTCATAGATAATCTGTTCTAAGACTAAAAAACATGGTAGGTTGTCTAAAATATTATCTTCTTCATCTTGATGGATGGATATAGTTGTAGCTTTAGATCAAGTCATTAAGGTAACAGTTGGTAATATAAATGTTCCATGTTCCTTTCTTTGACTCTTTTCAAACATAATCAAATTTAATTCATGGAAAATGAGTTGATTAGCTATTGTAGACATGGAATTTTAATTCTTCTCTAATTCTTGAATATGTTGAAATACAAATATCATATCTTGAAATTTTTGACCATGTTGTGGTTGATTATGTGGAGCCTAGTCTTGATTTTAGCCTTAATTAAGATTGTATGGAACATATTAAGAAGTTGTTTAAAATCCAGTAGATGTATTATGGTTTTGTTTATTATTGTCATAATCATAACATAGATTTTATGGCCTCAACTAACTCTCTATTGGATTTTGTCTACCTCCTCTATAATTATTATAAGATTGTTATACATAATTTTTAAGTGGACATTACAAGAGAATAACTCAATCTATTTTCTTACTTAATTATTTGAAATTTTTACCACCACAATTATCATATTTTACTTGATTTTCTATCCAACATTGATTAGATGGATGTCTCTTATTGCAAAAAGCATAGAAGTCAGGTCTTTGTCTTGATTGACCTCAAAGGCCTAAGTTATTTGAGAAATAATCTTGATTATTTTAAAATTAAGACCTTAGAAGATTTGATTTTTATGTAGGAGTATATACAATTGAATATATTATTTTGGCAATGGCATAGTATTGCAAAATAGAGTTGCACACTATGATTGACCACAACAAATGCACTATAGGTCCATGGCATATTTTTTTAGCTCAATAGAAAGAGAGGAGAAATAGAATTTGAGTTCTTAGCTAATCTTACTAGTTGTTCTATCATCAATTTTATTTGATGAATTATTTGATTCTAGAATTCTTTTTGAAAAGTTTATTTTTTTTATTTTTTATTTTTATTTTTTTTATATATCTTTTGACTACATATTGTCATAATATATATATATATATATATATATATATATATATATATTAAAGCCAACAGAGAAGTAGTATCAAAGATATGAGTCTCAAAGAAGAAAATCTCAATATATTCTTGTGTTACTAAAAAAGATTAGAAAATCACTTGAAGATGGTATAATATTAAATTAAAATGGCTATTGTCAAAGACAAGAAGATTATAAAGACTTGAAACAAGACTAAGGACTAAAAAGACATAGACAAAAATGTAGAAGGCTTCATTCTTGTCTCTATACATACTCTTAACTAGGAGCTATATAGCAATGTCCTAGAAGACCTCCAAAATGTGTTGACTTTATAAGATATGTATCTTAACTTATAAGGCAAGTTTTTTATATGTATGCCACATAGTTAACTTGTTCCACAAGCTATCAATATGTAGTTAACTTGTTGACGAAGTTTCTAACCTACCAATAAGCTATAAATACATATAAAGTCAAAACAATGTCTCGAAAGTTTGTAAGAAGTTTTTTTAGAAGGTATTATGAAATTAATCTACTTTTATCTACTTCTATATATTTATATCATCTAAGTAATAATCACAATAGATATATATTCATGACATCTTGCTCGCTTCCAGGGACAAGTTGCATGAAGAACAGTAATCATATGTTGAGGAAGTTTAAGATGCGACAAAATGTATTTGCCATATATTTTGATCTTTATTTTCATTTGAAGGTAGTTGATAGGTTCTCTCAATAATTCATAATGTCTCATTTTAGAGAGGGAAGACCACCCTATGATTTGATCATTGTTGAAACCTTCGTAACTTCCTTCAAACAAAACATTCATAATACCATCAAGAGTCATGCCTAGCTCCAATAAAATCAACAAACCTTTGAAAGTCTTTTTCCAAGTCATGATATCAAACACGCTATATCTTGCCATCTATTTGAGTAAAAACATGTTATTCTTGAAGGTCTTCATTCCAATTGTATCGTGTTGAAGGTTAATATAATCACAATGTCTCATTTGATAAATCAGAAAATGATTGCTTTTAAGTTGAATTTTTCGATTGATGATTTTTTATCTTCTTAATGCCACAATTATACAATAATTACAAACAAGAATAGAAGGTAGAATGTAATCTTTTTAAAATTATATTTCTTTTATAGCAAAGATTTGCTATCCTTCATTTTGGTTTTTATAGATGTTGTTGATTAAAAGTTTTGATCTTCTTTACTACATTTGTAAGGTTTTTTACTGACTCCCATGTACATTCATTAATATCATATCCATGCTAATGGACAAGATATTTCAACTTATTTTGGGATCACCTTGAGTGTAGTACTTCTTCTATTTTAAACTCTTCATTATTATCCGCTTCTACAGAAGGAAGTGAAACTTGTCTTCTTCTTGATATGTTCACAGCCTTATATAGTTCAAGAAGAAACATGTGAAATATAGGATGGATCTTCATTGACTCTAATAGATATAATTAATAAGAAATTAGATTGATTTGGCCACAATTAGAAAAAGGTCTAAGCTTGTAGTGTCATGTTGTAACATGATTATATGGTGAAAGATGATAATATGGATCTTATTATAGAAGAGCCAAGTTAAAAGATAAAGTAAAAAAATATGGATAAAAGATAAGAAGATAATAAAACTTTTAGTAGTAATGCTATCTTTTTAGAAAAAGTGACTTCTACTTACTTTGTAGGGCCATAAATAAGGCAAAACAAAGTAGATTGGAATAATAAATGATATAGGCATCTTTAAGAAAAGTTAAGAATAAATTCTAGCAAAAATTACCTAGAAAAACTAGATATAAAGACTCAGAGAGGGCCGGTTATGAACCAAGATTTAAATCAGACCCCGAGACAAAAAACCAAGCCTCGATGACGATTCTGGGATTCTTTGGAAGATTGGAGAGTGGAATTAGAAAGCGAACTTGATAGGATTTCAATGAGCATTGAATTTAGATGATTTGGATTTGCATTGACTTTGTAAGAGCTTTACAAAGTTAAGGTTTGTTTAGGATTTGGTTAGGATATGTATAGGATTTGATTAGGATTTGTTTAGGGCTTGGTTAGAATTTGGTTAGGATTTTGTTAGGATTTGATTAAGATTTGTTTAAGATTTGATTAAAATTTGGTTAGTATTTGTTTAGGATTTGTTTAGGGCTTGGTTAGAATTTGATTAGGATTTGGTTAGGATTTGATTAAGATTTGTTTAAGATTTGATTAAAATTTGGTTAGTATTTGTTTAAGATTCAACTAGAATTTATTTAGAATTTGATTAGAATATGTTTAGGATTTCATTAGGATTTGATTAATTTTGATTAGGATTTATTTAGGATTTGACTAAAGTTTGATTAAGATTTATTTAGAATTTGATTAGAATTTTATTAGGATTTATTTAGAATTTAGTTAGGATTTGACTAGAATTTGACTAGAATTTGATTAAGTTTTAACTAGAATTTAATTAAAGTTTTTATTTTAATATTTTATTAAGTTTTATATTTTAGTATATTTTTAAATTTCTATATTATTTTTTTACAATTCTTTAAAAGGTCTCTAGGAATTCTTTGTGTTTCTTATATAATTCCTTTGAAATTTTGATTGAATTTGA